AGGTACTCGCGTCATGAGGGAGCGTACGGAAGATAATCGCGATGACTGATGCCGGCCCTCATTGAACTGCTTGAGGTTATTGTTGAACCGAGAGAGTCAAATTGCTGCTTCCTGACTGAGTTGTCTTGGGGACGCTCCAGGAATCGTCGTCCTTCCGAATACATCGACGGCGAACGAGCGAGCAGACATAAGAACAGACGGCGAATAAGCACTGAGCAAAAAACAGGCTGAACCAAGCAGAATAGATATACGCGTTGTGCGAACGAACGAGCGAAGGACAAGGCAATTCAGCCCAAACCACTACTCAAGCAATCCGATCTCTAAAAACCTCAGGGCTCCCAGCGGCTCTTGGTGAAGACGACGAAGGTGTTTGAGATCTGTCAAGTAACAAATACAATTTCCATTTGTCGATCTTATTCTACCTCCTCTTACCGATCTTCATGAAAACAAGTCCATTCATCGTCTCAGGTCGCTTGCTCGACTTACTCAAAACTACTCGCTCTGAGCGTCCTCTCCACGACGCCAGCGCAAGCATGCAAGCACCAGAAACCAACCAACCAACCGGCAACCACCTTCGTTTTTTTCCAAAAAACTAAATGAAACGATGTTCATTCGATGCAACAAAACAATGAACTCAATGCCATATACAATACATAAAGACAAACATATTCAAGCCCTGCGGTGATGATTATTCCCGTTGCATTACACGATTTCAGTCGAGTTAGATTAAGACGGCGACAAAGATTCAACAACTGTTCTCCATTATCTGAACTTGTAAGAACGATGACTATGATGACGATAATGGTAATGGTTATAAATAAGTAATAAAGTGAGTGAATAATTGGCCCAATTATGGTTTTGTTCATCATTCTTTGGCTTTCCCATCCATATCGAATAGAATTACCTGACTTTTCCCTTTTCGTCGTCGCTCCAGAAATTTCAACTCCATCTCAGTTGCGATCCTCCATGAACTCATGCTGGTCATTCTTAAGCCGGAATCTTAAGTTCCTCGTCCCCCGAAAACAGATCGCTGCCTGAGGGCTTCTATCGATTTCCCTGATTTGTGAGAGAGATGGTGATGATTTTCTCGACTCGGCTCCGTTTCCACACAAAGAGGAGGACAGGGTGGGAAGAGTGGGGATTCTTGACAGCCTTCTTGACGGCGATCTCGTGAAATGGATAGCCGTAGGGGAAGATGCACCAGGTCTAGCCCTGACAGGGGAATCGATGTTTTGCTCATTAGGAAAACACTCACCTTCTACCGTTGAGAGCTGCTCTACCATTGAGCTGCGCGTATATTTCCACTCCTGAAAGTCCGAATCAAAGAGTGACAGTTGCGTCGATAAGGAATTCCATCGGCCACTGATTCCTCCGATCATTTTATCCTCAGGGATATACCTAATCATAGAGGTGGTATCAGATTCGGACAATTCACTTTTCCGGCTCGCTTCCATCGGATCGATCCGGAGTTATCCGGGGTGTCTAATCAGAATCTACAAGCCGCAATCCGTCAAAGTAACTCTCGTCCCGTAGCAGCTGTCGAAGTCCTGGAAATCGAGGAAATTCCCGAGCGAAAGTTGATTGGTAGAGCTTCCGGATTTTCCTTTAGAAACGCGGTCCCGACGTGTGGAGATCAAGAATGCCTCAGGTGCAGAAGCTCTCGAACATGTCGGCACAGCCAGTGAATAATAATGAAGAATTACATACATAGATGCCCTCTCTGAGGACATCGTCGCTGCAGCGTTTGCCAAACTGATCAAAATGGTTTAGACTAGACTCAAATAGTCTCCAGGCTAGTATTCCGGATACCTTGTCATCACTGACAGAACTCACCGCGGGATCACACACTGCGACAGAGTCCGCGATTTTTTCTTGCAGTTTCAGTGAAGAGCAACGCTGGAGATCCTTGATCATTGAAACAGACAGAGAAGCCCGATAGCGATCGATCTTAATATTTCTATACGTTAGAAATGAAGCATAGGGTCCTCTTGTGGGTCGTCCACGGGATCATGAGCATGGGCGTGAACCCGCCGTTCCGAACATCCGCATGTTCGGACGATGTTCTGCGATTCTGTAAGGCCAGTGAGATCAACGTAGCGAACACCTGCTCGCGGCTTGCCCCGTGGGGGCATCAAAAAGTTGAAACGAGCCTGCGGTACGGTGAGATTCCCCGGGGGTTTATCATCCGGATTGCGGAAGACACGACGTATGTGCAGGTGTTTTTACGAGCTGCGAAATCTCTTGGCTGATCGGCGGGTGTATCGGCGCGAACGCAAGTTGGAAGATTGAAGCGATTTGACAAGTCTGCAGCTAGACACGCGGGAGCAGATATATTCACGTGCCTGATTTTCATATGTGCGGTTGGATAATTCTGTAGACACACTTTATCCAATATCGTTTTCCAAGCTATTATTCCCCAGCTCCGATGAATCCAGGATAATGTGAACACAGTCAAAATGATGACGAAGGAAACAGGGACACGAGCCACGCAAAACCGAACATGATCGTTTAGGCACACGATATCCCTCCGAAGCGTCGTGGCCGACATTGACTCGCCGTTTCCGTGCGGGCCGGATCAAACTCGACTCTAACTCCGATCACGTGTTCCCGTGGAATTAAGGATCCGATCACAATCAGAACCAATAAGAATGACCGGTCAAAACGGCAAAGTGAATACGTCGAAAGGAACCTACGATCAAGGGGTCAGTGCGATAGAGAAAAGGGTGGGCTTCGTTCCCAACGAATTAGGAATGACAAGCATTGACGGTCCGATGACCACAGCTCGAAACACCGACAGCAATTGCCTTCCCCAAAGTGCCGCGAAATGTTTCTCTCTAATCATCAGTCGTGATCTTGTAGAATAATGGTAGAGAATACAACCTTATCGGTGATACAACCCCCAAATAATACAGGTCAAGCTCGGGAATTATTTGCGATGCTGAATTGATGTGAAACTGATGATCAGCGAACAGTTACAACTAGCGAAATTCCCGGTTATAACTTTCGATCGAGAAGAGATAGAAGGAGCTGACAAAGAGCGCGACGGTGTTGTAAGAGGATGCAGAGATACCCAAAAACACGCGTGTGAAAGCCATGATGTTGTGGAGTTTCCCGAGGCAAGTCCTCCAGAGAGGTCGCTCAGACGCGTCACCGCCAATCAGGCACAGAAAACGACAATGACGCTGATGAACAAAAGGAAAGAAGCATTGCCCTCATTGGTGACGAAGATGACTAGGATTCATCATTATTATATACTTGATGGAGTTTATGATGTGCAGACGAGGAGCTATGTGTGATTAATTCAGTGTAGGCATTTGGCATCAATAAAATTTGATAAGATCGAGCCGGCTGTCTTCATTATGAACATCTGACATACCGCCATCATAATCAAGATTTTCGTTTCGATGTATCGGGTGATTAAGGTGCCGTCGGGAGCTATCCTGAGGTCCAGGTGACGTGCTGTGAGCTTAGAGACTCAAGTCCGTGCTCGAGCATACCGCTGTATATGCTGACCTTGGCAAGAATCTTCTATAGAGGGTTCTGCCTGAGAGGTACCGGGTGAGATCCCATCTCTGTGGAAGCGCTAGCCTTATGCTCTCAAGGAGCTTGAATTTACAGAGACTTCCCTCGCTTTGGAACGACGCTCTGGATGCACTTCGAGCCGCGACGATCATCATTTTCGGAGACGCAAGATCAGCGGAGTTATCAGGAGCGTACAAGACGTACATCTCTCAGGGAGGGAAGAGGGCAGTCAGGAGTTCGGGCGGGATTGGGAAGGCTACGGGGGGTCATCTCTGAATTCCTGCATCCTTTTCTGTCGAATCTCTCTCACTCTCCCTTCGCCTTTAGGATATCGTCAAACAACCGTGGCTAGATAAAGGGAAATCTTATCGACTTTCACTCCTGTGAATCACAAATCCAGCTTAGGGTAGGGCGACGACAACCCGGAGAATGTTGTGGATGTTCGGTTTTTTTCCCTCAGCTGCTTACGAAGAGGATCTGATCAACAGAAATATCCGCGAAGAAGGAAGAGGAAGGCTTCGTCCCGGCGTGCGTTCCCGTGCACGCGGCTCGTGCGGGGCATCCAATAGTCACAGACGACATGAGGTAGGAGCTCGAGAAGCTCGCTCGTCATTTCATGACGTCAGTGGTTTATTTTGATGCAGACATCATTCCTGGCTTGGGATTCAGGGAAGCTAGGCTTATGGGGATTTCACATGCGAGAGCAGATCTGCCGACAAATCAAGCGACGCATGCCACAGCACATGAGCTCGAACTCATGTTTGGACTTGTTATTTGTCTGAAGCGATTATCTCAGCAAGCAAGAACGCCCAGAGAATGCTCTGAAATCGATACTATCGTCGGCGTGCAGTGAAGAATAAGTCTGATCCAAGGTCAGTCATCTCCGTGAGCTCAGAGCTCTATCATTCGCAATTTGGAGGTGTTTCCATCAGCATATTATCCTATGTGAAGTGTCTCGAGGTACATGAAATTTCCGCCGTTGATCCGTACCCATCTGCCCCCATTGCACGTTTTGTATTTTGCTAGCGGGCTTCGGGGATCACGAATATTCCCGCCAGCTCCAAGGGGTTTACTGGCGTAAAAAGCTTGATCCGTCCGATATGAGAGACTCGACGTTGAATTATATCACAAATTGCACCAATCGATACTCACAGACATGGGTTTACATCATAGCCCCAAAATGCATGAATACACTGATCATACAGTTCTCGCATGTATGCAGTATTTACATTTGCTTTCGTTCACAAAACAATCCAGCGAGACTTCCTTTCAGTGCCGTGAGGACGGCCGTTCGCTGGCTGAGGCCACTCCGTGGCTTTGAAAAGTATATCTCTGGGTTCGAGACTCGAATTCCTGGAGGAAAGCGCCGAGAATGAGCGAGTTGTCGGTGGACAGCATTCAGTCTCCATTCCCGGCCTCGCGAAGATCTCTGATTCCTATCTGTCTGACCTTATCGGATCGCGGACTGCTTCTATCATTCAAGGTGCCCGGAACGATTGAGTTATTTTCGGGCAGTTGACTGTCAGCTCCACAAGATGCGGACACGACTTCCTCATCTCCGAGAGACAATTCTCTGTCAGTAAGTCACAATTGGTGAGCTCGAGTGCCTCGAGGAATGGCTCACCGCGAAGGAGAGAGCTGATACCTGTATCCGTTACCCGATTGCAATTAGTCAGATGGAATCTCCTCAAGCGGCCGTGATGAGCCGCTAAACTCGCAAGTCCTTTATCCGTCAGGGGGCAGTCGGTTATTTCGAGCGTCTCCATGGCAGACGATCCGATGCCTCTGGCGAAGGCTTCGTCTGAGAACCATCTGGCCCCGATGAGACTTAGTTTCCGGAGACTTTTGAGAGAACTCAGTCTATGCGCGGTATCATCGCTCAACGGAGGGTAACACTCAATCTTGAATTCTTCCACCTTCCCAAAGTTCTTAGCAATCCAGGCGATGCATTCTCGGGTGCTGTTGGGACCGTAAACGATGATGGTTCGAAAATTTCCGCGCATTGAAGGTATGCTGTGTGAGAAATGCGCATTACCTACTGTCAGCATCATGTCCTGTGGAGGGGGGAACGTCCCATGGATTTGGAGTATGTCAGGTGCTGTTTCTATCCGTGACTGGGGAATACACCGGAATTTGCCCACTGCATCGATGTGCTCGACAGCCGCATTCGTCAGCTGTATCGCATCGGTGACGTAAAAAAATTCCAGCTCGGGGGCTCTCCCGAGAATTTTCAGCAGATGTCGATCCTGTAAGGCATCAGGTTCTCGGAGAACCAGAACTCGCAGATTTCTGCAATCACTCATTGAGCGGTAGGCCTCCGGCAAGAGACCTTTGCAGGAATCTAATCTCAAATCCACGAGAGAGTCTGCGTATTTCTCGATGAGCCTGACGACGTCTGGGTCGAGAGAATCGAAGGCAAAGTCTAGTTTCTTGAAAGTTTGCTCTGCCCTCAGCAGGCAGATCAGCGTACCCCTGGAACTGACATTCACATGCATCGGGGCGTGCACAGCTATTTGTTCCAGGTTCGGCAGCGAATCCAGGAGATGATTGAGTTCTCCGTCTGCTAGAATCACTTCCCGGAGACTCAGACTTCGTACGAGAGGCGACGAGAGGCGGATGTGGTCAATGGGGACGTTCTCCACGGGTCTGAGCGTCTCGCGGGCTCCTCTCCTGCCTGAAAAATTCGGGGCTGGAACAGTTAACATCCAGCAGGTTCGTCCCATCACAGTACGGAAAGGGGAGCGTGATGGCTTCTCTGACGTTTCACCGCGCAGCGAACGAGCTGATTCCCAATCGTAGGGGATAACTCACCTAGGGCGGAGAAATCCAGGACTCGCAGATGTTTGCAGTACCGAAGAATCGTATAAAAAGCGCGTAATGACCAATCGCATTTTTCCAACCGCAGTATGAGGAGGTCTTCTCCGAGTCTGTCCAAAAACTCCGACTCGAGTTCGAGTAGATTAACTGTGAGGAAATGGGGCGAGATCTTGAGAAGTTTCCAGTAGTCACTCTGCTATCAATCGCCAAAGACGTACCCCTACGATATCTCGAGGCTTTTTCTGGGGCATTTCGGTCCGCTCCTGATCTGCGATTTTTCGCGCATGGATTGTGGCGAGGTTCACATCAAATTCCGTCGCCACCTCGAGGCCGAGGGGTCAAATGGGCGCATTCACCCCGTCATGACCTTTCGCGAGCCCGGAAGAAGGAATTTCCGGAACGTCGACGAGTGGAAACTCATTACCTGCTATTGTCCCGATCAGATCTACACGAGTCTCACCTCCACAAAGCTTAAAGCTTGTATACTTTCGGCGACTCTTCATCAAATCCTTCATGGCTCTGAGCGTGCCCGTTTCCTCCATTCGATACTCTACATCTCTCAAGAAAACCGGGGAGCAGATGAGGTCGGCCCAAGCACGACAGATCAGCGCGCACCGGAGGCGTTCACGTGGGCGCATTCTCAGAAGCATCCGCTCCTGAAGCTTTAGGGAAATGAGGAGCTTTAGGCAGGACTCAAACCAAGGGAAGCGGCGCCTAGCTAATGTAAGTGGACGACCCCCGAGAGCAAGGATCCAATGCGTTCTATGCGACTCTGAGAGACTATGAAGGGAAGGATTCACTGAACTACAAACCTCGAGCGGGAGTTTATCCATCACTGATTGACAGTGGGTCAGTTGAAAATTGCCAAAAACTGCTGAATTAGCTCTCCTGCAGATTCTCGGTCGTTTTCTCCCGATCTGGGCTCACTCTTCGCCTATCGCTGCGACAGATCGGGCGGGAAAAGCTCAGAGCTTCGCTCCTTCGATCGAGTTTGACGGAGACCAGTGTACGCCCCAATCACGATAGCTGTTACTCGAAAGTAGTACGCGAAAGAGGTACAGCCTCTTGAGAGAGAAATCGGCTCGGATCTGATCGCATCGGCTTTCGGCGGGCTTCCGACGAACGCAGCACCCTAGCTGGGCCGGTCGGCTGTTGAAGACTCGGGCTGAAGCGTGGGTCCCGACAACTCACTACTTCTTATGGAGGCGGCGAGAATCAGCCCTATCGGAAGCGGCGTGACTACGAATTCGCTCTCATATGGTTTTCCGACGGGTATCAAGACCGGGCTCTTCTGAATCTCCGCATGGACGAAGAGCGCGGTCCTGGAGCCAGAAGATTCTTCCTCATATTCTGCCACAACGATCAATTGGGATTCTGATCACTTTTAGAATCGACCGCCTTGAACAGCAGAATCAGAGCTTCCGAAGGATCGACGCTCGTAAGTCAGGGGCAGTAGCGAATCCTAGGCGCCTTTCAGGCTTCGGATTTCCATCGGGTGCTCGTCATCCGCCATTGAGCATCACCTCCCCAGGGAGGACTGTTTCAGTCGATCGATATGAGCTTATGATCATTATCAGAGGCAATATTGACGATGGAACTGGCGAAATCCGTGAGCAACAATAGGGTAAGATTCAGGGGATGAGTCGCGACTCTGGAGAGCGCCTCCGGGGGTGGTTCGGCAAAATCCAGCGGCGTCAGCCGTGATTTCGGCCGGATGCATCAGGAGCGATGGACTTGGGCGGATTCAGGAATTGTTGCTTAGGCGACAGAGGAACGATGGGAACTCCCGACCCATCGTTCCTCCGAGCTGGGGAATGTGGAGCTCCGACCGGGAAGCATATCCCAAGAGGCAACAGTCTTTCTCTGACTGAGCCAAGTTTTGCGTATCGCATTGACCCAGAGCAGGCTGCTCTCTCCCGGGAACGATGCCCGCGTTGCTCCGGAATACATGTCTAGAGTTCAAGAGGTACGGTGGCAGCTAGGCGATACACCCCGATCTCATCGAGTTGGAGGTGCTGATCCGTTCTGGGCAGAACTGCAGACGAATTCGTTCCTTCGGAGAATCTGCGAAGAGCTGTTTGAGCTGGTATGCGCATTTTTCGACCGGCGGCTAGGATGCGAGTCGAAGACTCTCCGAGCAGCGTCGGAGCGGCAATGCGCTCTTGAAGTTCTGGGCGCGCTGAGCACCCGACCATCTCGCCGGTTTTCTCATTGGAATTCGTTCGTTTGTGACAGACGCTCCCGAATCAGGACAAGAAGACGCCCGGTCAGCAGACGAGGCCAACAACATCTCGATTTCGGTCGTTCCTCTTCGAATAACGAAATAGACGGAATGACAAAAATGACCGATCTGTACAGCGTCGCTCGCGAAAGATACAAGTGTTCATCGTTTGACAGCATGGGTATATTATTCACATACAAGGCAGGGGAATTCCCGATGAGAAGGTTTACAAGAAGCTGAGGCTGCTGGGGTTCGGATGGAGCGTCACCGGTCTGTAGCGAGACAGAACGGTCTGGTCGACCTCGTTTTGAAGTGGACTATGAGGTGCTTCCCGTCAAGCCGACGGAAATTTTTGAGATTCTTCTGACCTATATACGTATCGATTGCGTGGCCGTTGCAGTTTCCATCCTCAGCTTCGACCGCGCTCTTGCATCTCAAGCCTGAAAGGATTGTCCAGATTGGAAATCAGGTCAGATTGCTCGGTCCGAACATCGCACCGTCTTCTTCATCGAATGATCCATGGAATGCTCTGGTTAGACTCCACGATAATTATATCATTGGGGGAGATATAAACCCACCTTTGAATTGGCATCCTTCCACGTCATTCAAAGCCTCAATAAGGTAGTGGTAGGCCCTTTCGTGAGAACACGTGATTCCGAGACAACCAGCCTGACGAGTGCCGCCGTTCGGGTAGAAATCGATGTCTCCGTAGGCAGCGTAGTACCCGACTCTACCTGAGGATGGAATTCTCGCTTAATTCGAGGAAGTCTGGTTTTTCATCGTTGATATTTTCTCACCTATGCGGTGCATAGAGACAACAGCTTTTCGGAAACGCGCTCTCACCAAGCAAAGCAGTGAACTCTAGTGAAGTGTGGATCGCTTCGACAAAATCGGCCTCTCCCCTCCGCGGAGAAACTCCGATCGCCTCGAAGTTCGGTCCCGCTGCGTCCAGAGACGTGATTCGTCCGATTTTGCGTCCAGTCCTCTTGGTGAATGCTCGAGCGTAAAAACCAGCCATTTGGGCTCCAAGGGAGAAACCGATGAAATAAATATTCTCAGCCTTGATTTTCGGATGGATCAGCATGAGGCTCTGTGTGAGAGCCGCTGTCATAGTGGCGATCACCGCAACGTTTGCCGACGCTTGGTCGTAGTCCGGAGCACTGCAAGGGCGAGATGACAGTTTCTGGTGAGAATTTCGTCTGAGGAGGACGTACTCTATGATTTGTTGAGGGTACTCACTCGGCGCCTTCCCGCCAGTCGATGATCACGATATTGGCGCCAGGATAAGCTTTTAATGCCGCATCTTTGAGATCCCACATCCACGGTCTCCGACTAGACTCCCCAAAACCATGGGCCACGAAAATGAGGTGTCTCTCTTCTCCGAAATAACCTGCGGTCTTGAGTCGTAACTCTCTATCTTCGTCATTCCATCTCAGGCGGACTTCCTGTGGAGGAAATGCTGATTAAAAAATGTTATTTAGAACGTCTGTGTCTCACCAAGTCCTTGTTTTGATGAGCATACTACTTCATGGGAAACTTACCTCTTTCTCGCTCGAAACAAGGACATAGAAAGGCGGAATGGCCGTAGGGTCTTCGGGGATCTTCATTCCGATACTATCGTTGAAGCAGCCTGAAGAATGCGGGATGTGAATCGGAGACCGGACGAAACCGCAGCGGCATGATCCAGCACAATCCTGATGACAGAGTATTCCGTATGCTTTCGAATATCCGGGTTCGGAAAATTCACTCACCGAGCTCGCCAAAGCACACAGTTCGGGAAGAATCTTCGGAAACGTCCCGTAAGCCTCTCATATCCTCCAGGCTTGTGTTGTAATCTTCCGATATCCGAAGATCAACCTTAGAGTGACCCAGCTCTTGGATCGACCCGGCAGCTGCCATCAGCGCCGGACAGAGAAACATAAGAAGCGCTAGGAAGTTCATCTTAGGATATGTTCGAGGTTGGTTACGGGTCTGGAATGAGTTCTCGATCAGAGTCGAAAGCGATGCCTACCCGATCGGAGTTCGGAACAATGAAGGCCTCTCACCGGACCCCCAACCCCTTTGCGTGGGCACTCACCCAATAGAGACCGCTGCGAAAGCGTCGATCAGTCCTCCTTGCTTACGACGACAACAACAACAATGAGCGTGGTATTTTCTTTGTATACTCGAGCGGTAGAATGAGAATCCGGATGCTCTGTGGGCTTAGATACGGAATTTCGATCCGAGGAACTCCAAGCTAACGGACAGCCTGGCCAATTCATTCCAATTTCATAATTCGTTGGATTTCCACGGTGCAGGCGGTTCTGGGTGGGAGACTGGTTGGCATTAAGTACGATTCTCGATGGCCCATAGGTCAAGCTGAAACCGGAACTTCATCGATGCGGGCGGACACGATGGGAATTTCTCGAGGAAATTCTTCACCCACCTGAAGAATGTCCCCACGCCTCGATTGCGAATGGCCCTTATGTCAGTGGCCGGTGTCAGAGGCAACCTCCCAACGGTCGCGGGGAATCGTCTCGAAGACAATTTGAGTCGAAGATTAGTGTTGCTGTCCCCGGAGCCATTGAAAAAAACTGTCCCCTGATCAGATTCCGTCGGTCGATGGGAGCGTGCAATACAGATCATCACGAAATAAATTTTCGCATCTCTGCCCCACCCTTACTGCCAGGTAGTCCTTCCCAACATCACAATCGATCGAAAGAATCTCGGGAGAGCGAGAGAAGACTTCTATGATTTCGCGCCTATCTCTGCGAGGAGAGGGCCGCCCGCCCAGTCGACTCCGGAAGCTTTGAATACAGACTCCGGAGTGCGAAGAGCCAATAAGAGGCGAGAGGAACGGCGCGCTCAAAGTTCTGCGAGGAATTTGTGGTCTCTGTGAATACCCATGAAGCGCTGCGGTACAGCTCATGTGAGCAGGAGACCCCACGCCATCCGGGGCAATAATCGGCGGGAATCCCTCCCAAAGAATTGAGTGGGCAAGACCTCAAGCAATTCGCTTCGAGAATCTTAGCGATTCGATAAACGCAAGGCCTTTCGATGGGAGAGGCGCTGGAGAAGTGCTCCTTCTCCCCTTGATAGCTCCTCACGTCTATTTATGGAGGAACTTCATCACAAGGAACCCGGGTATGACGTACATTCGCTTACAACGGACCACTTTTTCGGTCCCGGACAAGCCTTAGGGAACTTCGATCTTTATAGACCCGCTATAGCCGACCGGATAAAGGACTTTCTGATGTAACAGATTGATTTCCCGGCTCCGGTCCGATCAGCCCCCATGCTAATCAAATCGGTCATAAGGGACCTATTCTTGCGATCAGGAAATTCGGAAACCATAGCCCATCGGTCGTTCTGCAAGGTTGCTCGTCCTTACGCGCCTCACGAGAGGGACCGCAGGGCTGTTCACGATGATTCCGACGCTCCTTTCCGATTCAGATACTATCTTCGTACGGGGCGGGCTCCGGATACCACGGACCGCTTCGGTCGGCCCTCCGCGTCCATTACAACGAGCTTCTACTGTATGAGGAGCGCTTAATCATGGAACTCCATCCCACGCCAAGGAAATCATTCCAGGCCTTTCGGTCTCTCGTAGCGATCTGCGTCTCAATAGTCCAGCCGTCACATCCAACCCCGGTCGGACGGGAAATCCACATATTCGGTGCTCAAGGGAATGCAATCCAGAAGGAACGATAAGGGAGGCACCGGCTCGCCTTGGCCCCGTGCGTCTAGAGTCGAGATCCGCTCTTCTCCTACTGCCGCAGGGGTTCCTCCTTGAACCATGCTCCCGTCTCGGGAGAGATCGCACACGGTCGATAGATCACTCCTCCCATCATTAACCGGAGAATACGTCCAGACCCGAGGCGAGCTACGACCGTTGTCGCTGATGCTGTCAATTCGTACTTCTATATTTGTTCCTCGTGCTCTTTATTCACATCATATTCCCGGGTGTATCAATCCTCGACCGTACAGAAGGGACTCTTCGAAGTGGTTTTCAGGTAGACAATATGATAGTCATCATCCAGCCGGGTGAACTTCTCGAGGTCCACCTGCCCGATGTGAGCGTCGACAGCTGGCCCGGTACAGTTTTCCTTGTTGGCTTCTTCAACGGTTGCGCATCGTACTCCTGAAAACGAGAAGCCGGTCCCTCGATTGCTCATTCTTCGTCGACAGATATCGATACTGTCTCCATACCTCCGCGGATCGACCCCGGAGGCCGATTCCGAATGTTCAGGAGATCCTCGTGAGCATTCTTGATTTCTAATCGAGTTTCAGCCATTCAGCCCGACTGACCTCTGAACTGGCATCCGGCTAAATCCTCGAGAGCATGGGTCAGGTAGACGAAAGCTCGCTGATGGGAACACGGTAAGTGGAAGAATGGGCAGCCGGGCTGCTTTATCCCGCCATTGGGGTAGAAGTCGATGTCAGCGTATGGCGGGACGTAGCCGACCTTGCCTGCAATGAATATCCCGCTCTCAATCAGGGTCAAAAGCAAGAGACATGTAATGAATCCGGCAGAGCCCTAGAACAAGAAGTCTTCTTCCGAAATCTCTCAGCATATCTTACCGGTGATAATATTGTCTCCTGCAGAGGTATGAATAGCCTCAACGAAGTCGGCATCCCCTCGTCGTGGAGCGATGTTTAGGCTGTGGAAATTCGGGGCAGCTGCGTCCAGCGACGTTATTCTGCCGATTTTGGTGCCGGTTTGGTTGGTGAAGGTTCTAGCGAAGTAACCTGCCATTTGAGCTCCAAGCGAGAAGCCGATGAAATAGATGTTTTCAGCTTTGATCGTGGGATATATTGACATCAGCTTCGACGTGAGTCTCATGGTCATATTCGCGATCATGGGAACATTTGCTGCCGCACGGTTATATAGCGGGAGACTGCCAAAATGATGAAATTGTATTGAATATCGCGATGGAACGGTCCATTCTCTCAATATTCCTCATGGCAAATTCTCGACTTCAAGTTTCCATCTATCGTTCTCTGCAGAGAATGATCACCCGACGAATACGACATCTATAATACCAATCTCCATCCGGGGCTGGGAAAGTTTGGATAGATACTCACTAAGCACCCTTGCCCCAGTCGATAATCACCACGTTGCTGTTCGGATAAGCTTTGAAAGTTGCGTTCCTGAGATTCCAAATCCATTGCTTGCCAAGAGATTCTCCAAAGCCATGTGTCAAAAATATTAGTCGCCTCTCTTCGTCGAAGCGACCTATCGTCTTATTCCGCAGGTCATCAACAGTATCTTCCCAACTCATTTTGATCCCCTGAATGAGAAGAAAGGGAAAAATCGTGAAGAATCTCTCCCAGCTTTCGGTCATTCTTTCGTGTCCTACTGATTCCACACCCGGACATTACTATGTACGCCTCGAACCTCCCGCCTGAAGGAGCGAGCTGGCGCAATCAGACACCGGCCACAGCTTCGAGAAGAGATAATAACGTGGGACCCCTTACCCCTTTCCACTGACGGATTGCAAGTCAGCAGATGCACGCGCACATGTTCATTCCCCGTACACACAGCGGAGGGATTCGACCGTGACTCCGAAACTCATCAGCCCCGTTGGAGCTCGTTCACAGTCTAACGCCGGAAATATCGACTCCCCTTAAACTCACCGTGTCATGCGGGAACAAGAGATAGTTCGGAGGGATGGAGTCCGGTTCCGAAGGAAGTCTATCTCCGATTGAGTTATCGAAGCAGCCTGTGAAAACCGAACAGGTGATCGTCCCCTCAGTCCGGTGACCACAATCGTCGATATCGAACCGGGTAGAATCTCTCTCAGTGGAAATAGGCGCGTGATTCCGTTTGTTCATGTTTCTCACCAAGCTCGCCCCAACATCTAGTTTCGTAGGAGGCTTTGTCTTCATCCTCCAGATCGATGTTGTCCTCATCGAAGTTGTAGGCCTGATCTTCCGCCTTGATCCCACCGGCTCTGAAGAGGAGAACACATAACGCGGGGAGCACCGTTAAGAACTTCATTGTGAATGTAACTCAATTTCGTCAAAGGTTCGGAGAAGGTGCGATGCGGCGTCTCTCAATGGAAGTTGGGATATCAACTTTTCTCGATCTATAATCTCCGAGAAGTTCTTGTATGGCTCCTCGCTGGGAGAGAATTTCCCAAACTCTTTACTTGAGACCGAGTCAATGCGGGATAACCAACGGATATCGCGACGGGAAATCGCCTGATAGGGATAGGCGTGCTAAAAGTAAATCCGAGTTGGAACACGCGCTTACGCTCCGTCGGCCAGGATTACGTGAACTACGAGAAGGGAATGAGTCGGCAATGTCGTGAGATTTGACCAAGGTGGGTTCGCCCGGTCTTTTGGCTTGAGCTTGGCTTAAAATGCGACTTGCCACAGCAGCGATTTTGCATGTGCCGCGGATGATTCGGGTCGCACCGAGAGAGACGGGATGTCCTCCCAAGATGAGAGGAAACAGAGCAATTCTTAAACGAAGGATCAGGTATACGGAAGATCCTCATACACGTCCACATCGCCTTCCGAAATGCCTGAAGACTTCCAGGGGGTCGCGTGAGCTCGTGAAAAAAGCGAAACAGGCTGAGCCATCAATGTTTCCACGCATTCAGAGTTGTCTGATCCGTCTCGTCAATGCACGAGACGGATGCAAACAGACTCTGAGCTCATCGACGCTCGAAATCTGACGAGTATGTCGATAGAGTTCCCAATCCAAACTCCGTGAAGCTTCTCGAATGCACGCTCGCTCAGTTTTGTGGGAGGAAAGTCCTCGTCTGCATCATTTTCTAGAGAAGTGTCATGACACTGCCCGGCAGTACTCCCCGGCGTTCTTCGCTAATCATCCGAAAGAGCTTCGAGTCGGGCTTTCCGATCGCACGAGAAGTTGCGTAGATAATCGGAGGACCTCGTCCGAAGTTTCTGCTCGGAAACACCGAGGTACCTCTCTGGAGGTCGAGTGGATGAGCGTTTCACCTGCCTGGGGAGGAAGAGTGTCCGGCTCTTCGGTCTCACGGTCTTCCAAGCCTCCAAAGCCGTGAGATTCGCGGCACATGCGAGAGACTCCCCCTGGGTGCCCGTATATCTATACCTAGGTAGTAATGTTCCACCGCACGAGTATCAAGCTCAAGTCGGATTAAGAGAGACGTAAAGAAGGTTCAAGAAGCGGTATCTTGGAACAAGCGGAATTTGAATGATAGAGGCCTCGGCCGTCACAATGGGAACGACGCCGACGGCGACTTTGTTTCGGGTAAGGCATCCTGAGGCTGGCCTGGCCAGATGCACGATACGACAGGCTATCAAATGAGCTACGGATGCCACAGAACTGCGGCATACGTTCTCGCTCCCTAAACTCCCCTCCCCGATTTTCTTTGGTTGCTACCGTCTCGATCCTCGGGACCTCTGGCTTTCAAGCTTTTACTCGGAGACTCTTTGCTTGATGAGCCCAATTTTCCCGGCCATGGGGTCAACTGAAGTATCGGAGTGCGGCTGAAGTGAATCATCGAAATCAGATAAGGAAATACAGCGACCACGGCATCGTGGCGACGGTGTGGCCAGGGTCGACACGTCGCCGACTGGACGGCTGAGGGCGTCAACTAGATATCGGCTCGCTACATTACCCCTCACCCCTCTCAGCGTCTGCTGTGCAACGATGACCGATTCTTCCTATGTCTATCGATCGGCAGTCGTCGTTAGCGAACAGCATTGTTGGATCTCTTGGTTCACTTCTTGGATTAGCGGTTCTGAGGAGAAAACATCAGCGCAGATGGGGGAAGTCACCTGCGAAGGAGAAATAATAGGAAACCGATGGATTCGGATGTCACTTCCCACAGCTCTCAGGATTTCCACGGGATTCTGTAGGGTGGCCTCGATTCCGCGTCGACTAGCGATAAACGTCCAGTGAGCCACGACAGTCGAGCTAATGGCTCGCGAAGAACATCGATTGCGACGGATTCAGCGACTCCTTTCCAAGCTCAGCGCGGTCCGGGAAATACAAGATGCAGAGGTGAGACCATCGACTCATGAATCTTTCGCTTTGCTCCAGAATTGTTTCGTGCCGATGCCTGCGACGAAGAATGGATTCTCTACGACAATGTCCTCTGGGGTCGATGCTGGAGGATTCGTGGCGCCCCCCCCCCGACGCTGACGCCGAGGCTGGCTCCGTTAAATCGAACTTCTCAATGTGATGGCATTGTCGAGGTGTTCTCTCCCCTGGAGTTTTCGTCTCCTCATCCACGCGGTGAGACGATCAACGTGTAGAATGTAGAAGTATTCCCGGTTCCCGGAGACTCGCGAAATCAGAAGCGGCAAAAAGACAGGAACGACTTGCCCCAATCAATCGCTGAGGACTCCTGACAGGCTCTGCGGGCTCGGTCGGGAGATCATGGAGCACTCGCCGGCTCCGAACTTCAATGTGAGACGAAGAAGAACTTAGAAGGAGAAGAAGAAGTTAGAAGGAGAAGAAGGAGTTGAAAGAAGTCAGAAGAAGAAGAAGAAAAAGAAGAAGAAGAAGTCAGAAGAAGAAGAAGAAACAACGATCTGCCGGATTTCGCGCCTGATATGAAAGGCTGATTGACTGTGTGTATACAAACAAACGGATATACACCTCAATCAGGATCACAATAAAGGAAATTAGGAGAAGAAGAAGGAGAAGAAGTCAGAAGAAGAAGCTAGAAGTTAGAGGGTGAACAATTTAAAAGTTAAAAGGAGAAGAAGTTGGCAGGAGAACAACTTAAAAATTTGAAGATTGAAACTCAGTTGGTTCTTGGTCTTGTCGAAGGAGGGGATTAACGTAAAAAGTATGTTCATATTTCTTCAGACTTGGAGTTCCGGGGACTCCTCTACTCGCAGATTCGCGCTGTCACCGCGCGATCTGGAATTTTTTGACGTATCTATCCTCGCTTTTTCGAGCTCGCCTGCTACCGCGCTGTGATCTTTGATCCTCATGCCTGTTCTCAACGGTATTCAAAAGCGAAGAGGAATGTCGTTCAGTTCTCGCCCCGCGGAATCCGCCGGATAGTCATCAAAAAGGAAGAGCTCGATTTCGGGCTTTCAGAAACCGAGGAGTGCCTCCAGGGGCGGAAGAGCTGTGATTTGAGCGTCCGTATCTTGTGCATCTTTCCGGGTAAAATCCTTGTTGTGAGCGGAAGAATCTCCTGATTCGCTGATAGTTCAGATATACTCCGATTCCGGCAATCGATTGAGGGGTGTTCTCCTAGGCGAATATTATCCATGCGATGAAATCACGGATCGGCACGATTTCCGGCGAACGCCCGAATGCACGCGAGAGAAGGAAAGGTTACAGACAAGAAGATTTCGGTGAATAGAAGGCATCCCGTATTCCCGTATGAGCATGCGATACGTCGGGTTTCGGATCTGTGCACTTCTCGCAAGGGCGGACTCGATCTCTGACGGAACATTCATCGCACGGCTCCATTGTGTCGATAACCGGATGCACGTTTCGATACGTGTCTCATAAAATACACATGTCGCGAGACAGTTCGGATGAAATGCGGAAATTGCCCCTCGAAGATATCCGGCGTTCGATTCAGAATTAACGTTACGGCTCCAAGCGAGAGGAACGGACTAGGGGAGAGCGGCTGCGCTCTGGAGAAAAACATTCCGAAGTTAGCGAGGATGCATAAAGAAACCGCACCCGATCTACTGGACGCGCCGCTTTCTAGAGATATGCGAACATCTCATGACTCTGAACCCCACTCTAAGTGAGAAAGAAGCGGAAGAATTCCGTTTTGGCCGAACAAAGCTAGCATGTACTCGCTGAGGGGCACGATAATTCGTCTCTGTTGCCGGAACAGTCATTTGTAATGTAGTCGAGACAGAATCCGAGATTCAATCAGCTTCGTTCCAAGTCGAGTTATGGTCCTAAATCCTTCGAAATGTTTCGCATCGGGAGTCCGGACTTCGGATCCTCTGACTGAGAGTGAACCACGTCAGATCAGTATATTTCCTGATTTACACATTGCCGAATCTCTCTCGCGAAAGCGACTTTACGGAGCCGCGAGAGGTACGATATCGGGACCAGCTAGCGTCGTCAGAGTCGCTTTCCCATCTCAGTAGGCGGTCTCTCGCATCCGTTATAGCGAATTCGGAGTCAGCCTGACATCCGTTTGCTGTAGACGGCGTCTGTGGACTCCCTCCTCACTCCGTGAGCAAGCCTGAGGGAGCCTATACAATAGACCGACTGATTCCGCAAGCCCTCTTCGCCGACTCGGTTGACCTCTCTAGACTTCGGGGTCTTGCTCGCTTCGCAAGGAGCTTTCCGCTCACCGGTCTTTCGAAGGGAACGATCCTTGGGGGTCGCACACTGCTGTCATTCCGACGGGCATTGAAAATAGAGTCTTCTCTAATGATCTGCGTATCAGTGATAATGCCGAGGAACGCTCTGAGCGACCCTCCGATCATCGCGGAGCTCCTGAAACTTATCTTCCCGCTCCTTGACAGTAAACACGAATATGGATCATTGCACGGCCAAACGGCCGCTCTGCGGCGCTGCCGACGGTGAATTAGCCAGAAATCCTCTCCGGGCCAGTGTTTTCTCAGATGGGAGCCCATCGAGAGTTTCTGTCCAATTGGAAATCTATACTCCCCACTAGCGAGCGCTCCTCGAGATTTCCCCGGGAATCGAGTTCGCATGTCGGATATTTGTCGCTCGGAGGTTCCGATTCCATTCTCGGAAAATGCTCAATTCTACGGCGTCCGAACTCATCCGCGATGCATCGAGACGAATGTGCGATACGATTAACCGGACTGCTCATCCGAACATTGAAACCATAGCGAAAGATCAGACAGAAGGGCATGCCCTTTTTTTCGATATTTCGGAACCTGCGTGTCTACTCTTCAAGTGCTCCCCGGAGCCTGCCCGGAAAGCAGAGATCCAAGCTTGGGACCCGGATGGAAGATCGATGTCTCATCTATCCACAATCGTCCAGGATGGAAACTCTATGACTCTATAACCTCTATGCGCCTCGCTCTCTTCTCAATTATCCCCCTTCCGTCCCTTTGAGAAAACCATGGTCAGACGCAAGAGGATATGAAACCAGTTCCACTATTCTGTCTAGTCTGAGACCTAGATGGGAATCCGATTTGCATGGCAGTGATTTTCGAGACCTCGTTCGCGACTCTCGAACCCTGTGTCCGTCGGGAACACCCGAGAGATGGCGTTGAGATTCCAGCCAAGAAACACTGTGTGTTCGCAGCTCCTCTCACTTTAGTGTAAACCTCTCAGCGCGTTCCGATCGTTGGAATATCTCACGGCTCCGATTTCTGACAGGACTTGATTGCGTAAATGCATTTTTTCGGATTATATTCTTCCCTTCATTCTTCGGCCGAGCTCCGATACGGAATACCCGACGGAACCGCTCATTCTGGGAAGAAAAAATGTATTCGGCTCGACACAGAATCCAGAATTAGCTCCGGCACAGACCCGGCTCACCGGACGGGCTGCTTCGGTGTTTCGAAGTTTCTTGAGTTATTGCCGAGTCACATCCTGCAAGTCCTCCGCTTTGCGGACTCGATCAGCTCAGCTGGATGGTTATTGAGACCCTTTCGGCCGGAGAATCGACAACGGCTCCGTGGTTTCTTCCTTAAGCCCTCCAATACCCTGCAGATTCGGAAACTACTGAAAAATCGTTAGTTTTCGTGACTCACTCATAAGAAAACGGATCCTGATTCGATGCTCAACGAGCTGCGGCGTAGGAGACCGGATCGAGGAGAAAATGAGGAACTGCAGCCATCTGAGTAGATGAATCCCAGATGAGGGATATCTAGCGAACATGTCGAGCAACGTCGTATAGAACTTCATCCTTCTTCCCTCCCTTCGTTTTCCTTCTGTGTGTTTTTCTCCGGAGATCGATCGGTTTTATAATAATTAAATACTATTTATTCCCATTATGTTTTCATGTTTGTTTACAGACCATGTTCCGTCTTCGACTTCGACATGATTTTTACATATGGTCCCATGTTAAGATCATTCTAAATTAATTTAGTCGAGTGATCAGGACCCCAATGAATCCAAGACTTCGGCGAGCGGCGGCAGCAAGCTCTTGTATTTCGGAGCGGACGCGGGATTGACTTTAGGAAGAGCCCTGCATTCTTTGGAGTTGGGTTTGTACTTGGTACAAACAGTATCCAGGAGATCTCCAGCTACGGTGTTTATGATCTCGCGGGCGAAATCCGCGGTTTCCTTGCCACATTTCGAGGCGTGCTTGGTCACGCAGGTGACATATTCGTTCATAGAGCTGGGGAAAAAATATTTTTTGTCACAATAAGGTACCAAGGAAACTCCCGGCGGGTATATATGTATAAATTCGTGCGATCAGGATCCCGACTACGGATGTGCGGAGTGCCCAATACATCGATTCGTAAACTCACCAACAGCTGAGGGGGACTCGTTTCTTCTTCGGGTGGGTGAGCGTACCCTCGAGGAGAGCGGCGAGCAGCCTGTTGCATTTGTAGAGATCGCCCCCAGCTTTCTCGTTTATGCAAGGCGCAATTCGTACGTATTTGTCCTTCATCGGTCCATTCGAACAGTGCTTGTTAATCTCGTTTCCGGCGCCTTCGATGAAGATTTTCAACATGCCTTTGCCAAGTCCGTTGACGCACTGATCGGCGTAGTTCTCAGCGAACTTCAGCGATTTCTTTTCACTCAAACATTTGGCTTCGAGCTGTGCGCGATCATTGGCCGCTCGCGGCCCGTTGCCATAGAGAAGAATGTCTCCTGATGCTTTATCAAAAGCGTTGACATCGCACGTGATCGATGCTGCGGAGGCTTGAGCTGCCCAACCTGTAGAGAGACAAGATTTGAGCATTTCAACCCCTCTCAGCTGCAAGAAGCAAAAGCATTGGCGTAGTGTTCTCACCGACGGCAATTAGTGATAAAAGCTGTAGCATGGTGAAGTTGAGACGACACTTGATCAGAATATTTTCTGGCTACTCTTCCTCCGTTTATATAGACGGAGCAGAGGTCCGAAGAGGTTCCTCTGGAGCACGCCTCTCCTGTGGAGAGGAAAGAACCGCTACCCTTCGGGCAGTCGAATGGAAAAGAGCGGGTAGCCTACCTGTGATGCGCAATTTCGGAATGTATTCCGCATGTGTATGCATTTTCTGGCAGAAGAAATTCGACGTTGATCAATGAGACATCCATGGGCCTCAAACACCGGGGAGAACCTCATGAGTCGTATATTATTTCCTATCCGGTCTGACATTCTTCCACACCCTTCTGTACGCGTATGGACACATCAAAGCGATTTCTCGGAGTTTGTTAGTGCACAGCATCCCCCTCCGCTAGATGAGATCTGATTTCGAAAGTTTGTGAATACTCAAGAAAATTTACATCGGCATTGCCAAAGCTCACGAGTAACTTTATGTGACTCCGTTCATGACTCAAACGCCAGCTGGGGGAGGAACGATTCTTCGCCGCTGAATGTGGCGGATTGACAGATGGAGATTAAGCTCCTGCTCCTTTTTGACAGTCGGAAACTCGAAGTGGGGAAGTGCTCATCAAGCATAAAAAGAAGTTTTTATTCCGCCCTGGGGAACGATTTCACCGAAACGTTATCCCCAAATTAAATTGCGCTCGATTTCATCTCTGCTTCTAGTAACGCAAGACTGCTCTATCGAGGGCTCGAATGCAAGCATCCATCTGCTTGGAGGAGTCTTTCCTTTCTCGCATGAATTGGAGTTCCAGGGGTGCAACACCAGGAGGACCGACATATTTCCCTTGACTCACAGGAGACTCCCCCCAAAAAGATGAGATTCATTCCATCGTGACCAGACGATGTCGGACCAAATTAGCGACTGGGTGGGTGGACTGGAGTGCTTCTTTTCGGGGAAAATTGGTCGAGAATCCGGATTCTGCTCCCGATAGGCGGAGCCCACTATACTACATACACCAGAATACGATCCATTGATCAGCGAGCTGTGTATGTGGATCCTCGCGGATAGCTGCAACCGTCATCGGTGGCAGACGTGAGCTCTGGTTCAGCTTTCGAAGTCGAACCTGGCAGACTGATCGTTCTGAGCGATCCCAATGCTCATCAGAGCTCCGATCCACCGTTTCGGCGTGTGATATTCTGAATTTTCTGCGTTTATGTCTCATGATCGATATTAGACAACTCGTCCCTTCTTGTCCATTTTGTCCGCTTCTTGAAATTTTCGCCGAGGACATAGCATCCCTTCCGATTGGAAATTTACTTCCCGCGCTATTCTCTCGTTTTCGGATCCGAGTTCTCGATAGCATTAGCCTCGCATCGGATCGAAAGTTTCCTCCTCAGCGATTCCTATCTGAACGATGTTGTTTGGAAACTGGATTCCAGCCGAGTGTTGCTCATCGGAAAGGAACGTTGGGGGAATGAAGTGAATCCGTGGAGCCGGCTCAAAACATCGAATAAAGTGTCCTGTTGCAACTCTCGACATGATGTATCGAACGACGCCGACCATCGATTGATTATACCGCGAGGCAACGAATGCAGGAGTATCCTCGCGACTACGGAGCTCGGACGAATTCTCGGATTCCAGTCGCAAGCCGAGAAGACGGAGTGATACTTCGCCTGGCACTGTGCCGCTCACGGTTGTCCCGCTACTAGCGGTTCCCGGTGCCGATACTGAAGCCTGCTCCCTGAGGCAAAGGAGCGCCTCCCCGTGCGCCAGGTTCGCCTTCGATGCGCGAAAAAATTAAACATGGAGGATCGGGCGCCTTTGATCCGAGCTGAGCGAATGACATCGATGTTCGGAGCGTTCTCCGAGCTCACGAAGTCGTCCGATAATATCTCCGGTTACAAGCTCATTTTGCAGAGCGAGCCGGCCGAAAATTCTGGCTCGATTTCGACACAAAGTTTTGGAGACGGGGATTTTCTCACACAATGGCTGTGGACGGAGGTGGTTGCTGACTACTTTGCTTCGTTTTCGGCTCCTTCCATCCGAGACAGCCGATGACTGCGACCGGAACAATAGAGTCTTGTGCGGCAGATAAACACATGACACAACTCTGTATAATTTACGTCTCGCCTCGTGGTGAAGTGGAATCATATTACAGAATACCACCAATGGCTTATCCCGTAGGATTCCAATCCTGATCCCTTTACTTTGAGCCGAACCCGGGGCATTAGTTAGCTTTGTGACGAGTTGCAAGCCTCGGGCGCCGGTTTCCAAAATGCCATCTATTCTTGTGTCAAAATCTCAGGCTGATAATCGCTGACCGCATCGCGATCGTGTCGAAGAACGAGCTATTTTTCAATATCATTCGTGATGAAACGGAGGCTGATGACAATGGGAAAGAACTTGAGTGGTCGACTCCAGGAATTTATCAGCGAAGTTCGCCCCCGTTTCTGGGAGAACTTACGTTTCGGAGGCAATGAATCGGAGAGGCGCTACTCATCGAAGCGGAAAAAGAAGTTTGATTCCAAGGTCTTCGTTAGCCCCTCGGATTGTTGATGTCGATTCAGAGGGAGAACACATTCCGGACTCGACGTGTCATCTACAACCCAAACGACTGCCGTGAGTGCCATAAGGATCACTGCAGAGTGGTAAGAAAATGATGGATAGATAAGTGCAGTAGCGCATCTTGAGGGTCCATTAACGGTGGGCAGCGCCGGAAGTTCTAGCGCTGGTGCTGTCCCCTGCGGCTGTCATTCGTTTGTACCATTTAGCTAAGAGCCCATAAAGCTCTCGATTGCTTCGTATAAATCCGTGACGTGCGGACGTAGAGTCGTACAAAGTATTAGATTCGGTAGCGCCCATCACAGCTGCTTTACGACGAATATTGAGTGAATGAAGCAATCCGTATCGACGCTTCGGCAATCATATCAAAACACTCCCCGTTCAGATGTTCTGACGAGCTCGGGACGGCGCGGCGTACGGAGAGCAATTCTTGATGCAATGTGTTCCGCATCGCGGGCAGATGCAACCCTCCCTCGTTCAGCTATTTCACATTAATTGTCTGAACGGAGTTCCGAGCTCTGTCTTTGATGGACAGGCGAATGGGCGCTCGAGAACGGAGGGGGCTTTTGTGATGCTTGGAACCTCTGGAAGCCATTGTGGTTCAGCCATCTCCTAATGAGAGGGAGTTCCATTCTACGATGGGCTTCGCTTAATAGGCTCTGAGTCCACTTTTTTATCAAACGCGGAAGCCTCCCATCCACAGACCCCTAATGGACCCTCGCCCAGGATGATTCCGTGATTATAGCGAAACGAAAAACGAATCGCGTGATCCGAAGATCATCGCGACTGGATTCGCTTCTGGGGATGAGCTGCTTTCGCGAACTTGTTCAACAGAGCTCAATAATTTTCGAATGCCTTCATACAGCCAAATCGCGGTACATAGAACCTCGATTGACAAGCAGAGTCTGTTCGTTGTAGTGAAAATCTGCTAAAAAGAAGATTTTCGGCATCACCTCCGAGGCGAGCCAGCCAATAGGCGGGGGGGAAAGTCGTACCGAGATTCCGCTGATATAGAATTGCGACGTATAATGCTCCGGTGGAGGAAACCTTCGGGTAGCTCTGGGATGATCCTCGGATCGATCGGTGAGGACGCTCCACCTTCGATTCTCGACGCTCGGTGACGTTTCCGGAAAATGGCTTCGGCTTACGGTTCACAAGATCTTCCTGATAGATACTCGTTCGAAATTCCGAAAAAGCTTCGCATGCTGTGAAAGAGGTCTGTGAACTCGATTTGTCCGATGCTCATCTACTTCAAAATTCTTTCAGGACTTCCCAGACTTCGGGTGTTGTTTTGAAGCGAGCGACGCTCGGCCGAGTTCGCAGAGATATAGAAAAGAGCGACGAAATGAGCAGGCGTCCTATAGTGATCGTTCAAGACGTTTCGAGTCGCGAAATCGCTCAATGGTTTTGGAGTCATCTATGTATCTCCGAGACGCAGAAGTCGAGCGGTGGACGGAGTATACAGAAGAGCGCGGGTCTTTCCGTACTGACCACCGCCCCGTCCTTAGAAGAGAAAGTGCTTCCGAAAGCGCGTTCATTACGGAAGAAACCCTTCTCGTTCGATCGGACCGCACAAATGATCGATCATAATGAGCTGGAAGTTGCCTGGACTATTCAGATTCTCCGTTTTGCCCTTCATCTCCGTGATGCCGGATGAGACGATTTTCGGAAGCGCTGATGCAACTTATGCAGCAGGTCGAAGACCGCTGCCGCTAAAGCGATTGGAAACTCGTGCCGGATGCTTGGGCTAGAGAGAGGAACTCTCTGGATGCCAAGGACACCTCGATGGATCCGCGTTCGGTGCATACCTTCACCACTCGAATCAGCACGATTTCAGGAAATCCGTGTGACGCATCCAACCACTAACCCTGACCGCTCCGATTTTTGTTCGTCTCAGCCTGGGAATAGTCGTCAGCTCGCCCCATGGTCTCGATTTTCTGTCGGGACTGAGACCGCACTCAGTTATTGAACAGGTATTTACGTGTGTGTTCCACGATCGCTCACAAAAGCGAGCCTGTGAGGCAGGGCCTGAACTCTGTCCTGGATCCTGTCTCGAAGCTTTCAGCGGGACTCACTCCATTCGAAAAATGGGAAGCAGATCATTATAATTAGAGAGTATATCGAGCTAATTAGATGTCGGTCCTCCGCTGAAAGCACAACGGAGCTTTTCAAAAGATCAGATACCTCTCTCGTCAGCAGCGTTCTACGTGGCCATTCAGGAGACCGTCGCGCGAGCATCATCTGGAACCAGGTCTCTGTAGGGATGCTTCGCTCATGAACTCTCTTTTTTTGATTCAGCGAGCGTGACCTGAAAGCGAGAAATCGGCGGCGATCTGATCGCTTCACCTTTCTCGTCCGGCTCACGTACGCCTTTGCTGATTGTTTGTCATACCGATGTCATCCTTACGTCATGCGATTCTTGCTTGACAGCAAGCCGCGTCGATGCACCAGAAATTCGCTTCGGCGAACACTTCTCAAGCGGGTCTCCTGGCACCGGGTGATATAAAGACATGGAACTCATTCGGGCACAGATCATCAATCACCTATGGTCAAGCTGATGTACTACAATTAAGGAGCCAAAAGGGCGTCCTAGTACATTCGGTGTCTGGCCACGTGGACGGTAAGACGCATCTGTGGTCCAATTTTCCTGAAGGTCAACCACGTAAGTGTCCTCATCGGGGGCTGCTGATCAACGTTCCCGAGCAATGCTTTAGTCTACCTGATTCCTCGGGGAGTCGGTCCCATTGCTCAACCCCGCTGGAGTCCGTATGATAGCTCCGAGGGACTACGTGATGTCCGAGTCCACGAGAACCGCCGCGTCTTGCGGGCTATCCATCGATCCGGCGCCGAATACGGCGAATGAATGCTGGGGATTCTCTTGTCTGCCGACCGTAGCGCTCGCATGTCAACCCAGCATTGATACGCCATGTGAGATTCAGCGGAGATTCAACTCTTCAATCTGAAATCCGGATGCTCTCCTACCGTGATGTTCGCCGGGGATTGAATCGAAAAGTATAAGCCGGAGACTTCTTTGCTAGACCAGTATCGTGGTGTCGTAGATTCCAGCCGGCCGTGTCAATCAGGACTCGATGCCAGGACAACCTTACGCAGAGTCGAATCTAGTAGGCCATCTGACCGTATGACACATTTCCCCACGAAATTACGGGACTTGAATGTGCTGAGGAAAATTGATTATGGAGCCTTGAGACAGCTCGAATGGCTTCACGGAATGACTTCACCGCGACCGCATTGGAATTGTAGGAGCACTTCGGATTCCTTGGGAACTTTCGACGGAGCTTTTCTACTGAGAGAGACTCGTCAGACTAATCTAGTACATCGCTGAACTCAACTCCTTATGGCTGCAAACGAACATGAATTTGTCAGACGGGAATATTCGACTAGCGTTCGCATGAATTATTAATTCAGAGAATACTCGACACTGATGGAGCCATTACCTGCACGCACATTATGATCGAGAGTTCAACATGCATGCATGGAGCTCGCAGTAATTCCTGTTTCTCCCGTATTTGTATTCTGACGCATCAATATAGGTGCTTAGTCATCGATCCCTCGTTGTCTCACCGTCAGATCGGTATAGACATGAAGGCACTGGTTGCAGAGGATTTTTACCAAGCCGCTGAGAGTCCGTTTCCTGGAGCGATCCGAATTCTGTCCCACATGAGCTGAATGAGCTGATTTCAGAATGAGCGGAGCTCCCTATGATTTATGGTCAGACGTACAGGCAATGAGCTCAGCAAGAGTGACCCTAGGCTACAATGGTATAACAATGACATTGACGGATTCCATTCTCCATGAGGTGGGCAAGGCGCCAAAAAAGTATCCGCTGATGATCTCATCTTGCGTGAGAGCCGACGGATATATTTTTCCGATTGCGGAGCTTTTTTGTGGTTTTAAAACCTTTTGCTTCAGGATCGACTTTCTTCGCTTCACTCCACAAATACTTCGCGCGGCACTCCAGAGCGGAGAATCGCTCGAAAATACTTCGTCTGAAGCCTCAGAGGAGCGCATTCCTCGAGTATGATCTGAAAGTCTTATCGTTCGGTTGTGAACGCCTGCGATCTGGCGGAGCATGCGAGAGCTGATTTCCTCCCCGTCAATGGCTCAACCCGTTTCCACGGGGAGGGGTGCTGAAGTTCGTGAGGAGAGCGCTGTGAGAGACGGAGATTATAACCATAATGAATCGGATGAATATTGAGGGCTATGCGAGCTTGGTCTCTCCGCAATTTATCTTCGAAGGAGAACCCATGATTGTCACGGAGGAGAGTGACGTTCCGAATGTCAAACATTTTGTGTCCATCAAGACCCATTCTCGAGATGGAATCGCTCGAGAGAACTACCGCGATATCCGTCGTCGAGGGGGGGGGGTGAATGGGCACCGGAGGTCGAGGCGAATTCCTGGTGCTTGCAACTCTGTCAGGTATTCAGACATAATCCGGACTTCTCGAGACCATCCGTAACGCCCAGCAGCAATTAATACTCCGCGGCGGGGACCTTTGCTCGGAGGGTGTCCGGGAATATTGTCGGGATGTTTCACGGAAAGACCCCCATCGCCTGCTCCTGGGAAGGGAGAAAGTAATGAAAACAATCGTCCCCGCACGGTCGGAACGGGGAGTCTGAGCTGCTGGCAGCTCGAGACTCGATGGGGAGGGGAAGAGAACTTGACATACGTACTCGGCGAGATATTCTCTCGGAAGCTGCGGGAGCATTCTCGCGGACTCCGAGAAGAATCAAATCTGGTGAAAAAAATCTGTCTCTGGCAATCCTATCTGCGAATCCCGTATCCTTCTGGTGACCTTAATCGGTGAGAGGTTCCCGACAGCTGAGAAACAAGACAGCGGGCCTCACCAGGGGTGACAGCAGCCTCTCATTCGCCAGTTCACCGCAACTGCAATCCAAAAAACATTCCACCGAATAACTTCGCGTCGGAGAACAGACGGACTCGCAGAACATGGTCGATCGCCTCAACGCGAGCCGACTCGTCCTCGCTCGCTCGCTCTTGCAAACTGGAAGTCTCAGATGGAAACGGTCTACCTCGAATAGAGACTTTTCTGAAGTGTACATCGGAAAACGGATCGACCCGACATTCGGGACTTGGCGAGAATCTTCGCTTGTACTCTTCCGGGTACGAACTCCGATGCGAAAAGTTCAACAGTGGCGTCCGATGATTGAAACAGAGCGAACGCAGGCTTCGGCATTCCCGACTCGGACGAGAATCGGTTTCGGAAAAACTCCGATAGAGGTCGGCGGCGGACACTGAGAGTGCTTTCAAACATTCCAATATATTGATTCCTGCCAAAATCTGTCCTCTGCGACTGTTCCTTGACGGTTTCAGCAACTCATATCCTGCTCCCGCAGCTGTCCTCTATCCTCAGTCGAATCCGAGACGAAAAAAATTGAGCGGAGGGAATTTTTTGATTGACAAGGCTTGGCGTGGGTTTCCAATCGCAAGAATTAATGCTTCAGCATTCGTCACTCCAGAGCCGATTCGGATGCGCGTCAGAGTCAGGCGCTCGGGGTTTCCGCGTCTCAGATCGTCTCTCTGTGTTCTCTCCCTCGAAGCTCATCGTCGCGAGTCCTCGACTTCAGGATTCAGCGAGATCAGAGTATCACCGTGGGAAGAGAAGTCATCAAGCGGCCCAAAATTAGGCTTTAGGAAAAAACTGCCTGGCCAAGTTTCAACACCTTGTGGGAGAAGAGGCGGTCACAGGTCTTCCCTCATGTCTCAGATCCCGTTCAGACTTTTCGGAAAGCACTCCGAGGCTCTGGTGATTGCTCCGATTCATGAAAATGTCCGAAACAGACGAGGTGGTATATTTTGCGGCTCTCCCTAGCATAGTGGGCGCTAGATGACTTAGCCGGAATGTTCTGGAGTCCGAGCCGGAGTTGGAGCAAAATTTCTGGACGGTAGTTCGGAAACACTTGAGAACCGGAGCCATGGTTGTATAGCCATGCAGCATGAATAAGCCGCCACCGATTCCTTTTCAAAGTCTCGGCTTAGATCATTTCCTATCTGGCCGGGAAAGGAAGGAAGCTCGATAGAAGCTGGATTGAGAGATTCAGATTTATTCCAAATTCTATCTGATCCGTTTTCATAACGATTCCGGTCGTACTCTGACTCGAACGATCGTTCAACCGACGCCGACGTCCAACTGGTTGAACCTGCTTTTTCTGGAAGAAAATATTCAGATATGCAAAGGCTCCGTCGCTCCAATATGACGACTCATCAGCTATCTGGGAGCGATCCGGAGGAATTTCTCTTCTGTGCGTTTGGGACGCCCACGTCACGTGCCAGACGTCGCCCTCCCGAGATATCGCTCTCCCACTCGGGCGCGCAAGAGTGGAACGAGCAAGGGGTATACAAGAGAACAGGAAGCAAAGCGCGGGTTAGAATGTCCGCGTGCGATTCACCACACGTTTGGAATCACGCGCGTACGTGGAAGGAGTTCACAAAATCAGGAGCTCTGCTGAGGACGTGCTCGAATTCTTTCAGAGACAAGTGGCCGTCGCTGTCGATGTCGCCCTCGTCGAGAACCTTTTCAACGACGACCTGCGAACGATGAAGTGCAAGCTAATCGAATATTCAGAACAATCATCGAATACGAACTCGAGCTTTGATGTAGACGTTACACAACAAACCTTGACATCTTCCATGCTTAGTTCCCCCTTGGTCAGGGCAACAGTAGCGAGCTCGATGTCCTTCGGGCCGAGCTTGCCGTCGCTGTCGTAGTCGTAAATTTTGAAGGCATAGTGCATTTTGATATGCTTTGGCGCAGCTTCACTGAACACGCTGAGCATATCGAGGAAATCTTCGAAACACATGTTGCCACTGCCCGACTCGGAGAATACTTCCGCTATCCTCCGACGGAACGGGTTCTCCTTGAACTCTGGCATCTTCTCTATACGGTCCACCGGACATTCGGCGGTACGGCCTTCGTCATTCGTCATTACCTTGGTACCGGAGAAAATCAATGAGCGAGGCGCCTCAGTCAAAGCTTCGTCCTGGTCACGAGATTGTTTCAAAAAGCTTGACTGGGCGCGCCTTTCAGGAGGCGATTCGGTATGATTTGCGAGACCCGGGTCGAAGTATGATCATTCCAGGTCATCCATATGGCTCCATTTAGGCTTACCCGAGGCAGGTTTTGGGGATCGAGTTCAACGAACTTGTGCTGGATCGTCAGGATCTCCTTCCGAGTGAAAAACGTGCAGTCCTGCAAATCCTCCAGCTGCTCGTCGGAGAGTCTGGGCACTTTGTTACCCATTTTTCTGGACACGGAATGGCACTGGAGCTTCGTGAACGATTTAGGGGGAATGGGAGCAGCACTTCTGGGTGGTGCGATCCTGAAGGCTCCTTTAGTATGAAGAACCGCTGCACGACTACGCGTCTCTGCAGAATATGTCTGAAAGTGACCTTGGGAATCTGAGAGACATGACGATTGGAAATACTAAAAATATTCTCCATATCGTTCATAACGAGACTTCCCACGTGTATCTCATACGGCATGGACGTTTTTGACTTATGAAAGCGAGCAAGAGAGCCGCTCTCGCTATTCCCACGCTTAACAGAACGGCTTCAATTGAGAGGAAATTCCAAAACCGGGAAACGGCAACTGATTCGCTCCGAAACTGCTCAACTCAAGGCAGAGCTGTCGCTTCCCGGATATTTTGGCGACCATCAAGACAATGCTCGAGGTTTGGGCTCCACGATGAGAGCGGACAAGGGCCAGATGATGAGGAAATGAGTATAGAGCTTTCACAGTGGTAAATGGGGACTGAACGAGAGACAAAACCCTTTAGACTTCACGCTCAGGCCACATTTGGGCATCGGACATACCTTGTACGAGGTCGAGGGCACCAAATCTGAACCGAGAATGCCGAAGATGCTGCAGGCCCCGGGGTGGAGCAGAATCTGTTGGGTGGAGCACATCCGATGAAGAGACATAACCCCACCCAACTCCCTTGGAGTTCACTCAATCTTCATTCGGGTCACGAGGAAAATCAGCAAGCAATCGAATCCCGTCTCCTTTTCCGTCGAATATTGAGGTGACTCTCCCTGTGGGAGACGAGGAGTGCATTGCCTGGCCTATCGGCGGTGGATAGGAACTAATCTGCCGGGAACGCTCACTTTCTCAAGCGAGTTTGGGACGGCGTCGCTGCATCATCAAATCCTCATCATTCCGTAGCGCCTGAATTGATGGCTAGCGGGCGTCTTAAACATTAGCAAGGATGTAGAGAACTAAGATTCCTAGGGATAGGGTATTGTGGAGCTAGTGTCCCGGCGGAAATATTTGCGATATCTCGGCATCACGAATGTGAGATTTATGACGTGGAAAAGTCTCCGAAAAGACGCGCCGTGGATCCTGACGGGACGGAAGCCTTTCAGAGCAGGGCACCGCCATTTCTCTGGTCCTGGATCGAGAGAGCTAGCATGGGATTAGAGAGAGTCAAGATCGGGAGTCAAAACTATTCCTTTATTCCGGCTATGTGTCCTGTCGGGATCGATAGCGTGGATTGGGTAGACTAAAAGCTAGAGTTTCCTCATAGACTCGCGCGGAACCTGGACTGGCCCACGCGGCCGTAGCATGACCGCGAGGCGTGCGGCTAGTACTATGACAGGTCGAGGGCGTGAGGTTTCGGCACATGACTTCGTAGCTTTACGCGATATTCCACCTAAGATCGAGAGCGCCTCCAGCTCGGACGGAGCTGCTGCCCCCACGGTCTGTACTCGACAGCTATGGTCTTGACGATCAAGATAGGAAACTTTGCGTAGGTTTGGGGGAAAGCGCCCGAGCTGTTGCCGGATGGGAGTTCTCTAAATGTCCCACCAGACCCAGAGCCCACCAGCATCACTCATGCGGTGGACTCACTTAGTCAGCTGCTCCGTTAACGAGACACCGCAGGGTAAGGAATCGGCGTGCTCGCTGAGCGGACGGGTATCCCCGATCGTCTGCCTCCTCGAGGCAGATACTCTTCGATACGCTGTAATTTTCCCGGCCTTGCCCGAATAGTGTCTCCTGGTCTCTCACAAACTTCGTGCCGAGATCGAATGAGATCGCATACGCCCTGCCTACTCGAGCATTGAGAGCCTTCGCTTGGAGTCAGAAGCAGAGTCGACCACGTTGTCAGTTCTGCTCGTAACAAGCAAGCCCTCGACCTCAGAACTTTTAAGCATGCTCTTTCTTACTCTCCCGACTACGAGTCCCGACTCCTCGCTTCGAACTCCTCTATTCTATTTCCCTCTCAGCGGAATCGTCTTCCCGATATCCTATTCGAACTCGAGCTCGATTCATGTGTTCCACTGGAAAATTCATCCTTCCACGGTTTCCTATCCCGTCCCTCTCCAGGTCATCGAAGGAGGAAGTCTCGAACGGACTGCTCTTTCGTCGAAACGGGGGTGGTGTCGTCGAGCGTTGTCCCTCGAGGGTTCCTATCTTCTTCTCCTTCAGACTTTTCCTCTCTGCCCACTCACCTCAATGATCCCGACAGAAGCGGCGGATCGCGACCCTCACCTTGAGATCCTTCCCAAATTATCCCTTTCAAAATGTTTCCTCGGGGCAGTCGATGAGATGGAACTCGCTTCCGCTACTGCGGGATGTTCCCCTAAGGGCCGCTCATTCAGCTTCCTTCTCCACGCGCTGATCTCCTATTCCACGGTGGACGAGCGAAAATCGTGCAGAAAAGAGGCTTCCGTTCAGTGAAGGCCCCGACTCGGATGATCGGTAAGGTCGAAAAACGGAGCGACTCGCGAAAATGCTCGTTCGGACAAACATGGAAAGAGCTCAAATTCAGCGATTTCATTACTTCAGCTTCAAGAATTCCAGATAGACCCCAGCTCCGTGACGTAATTCGAAGCGTTTCCAATAACTCCCTCGTCCGAACGACTCATCCCGAGGGGACTCAAATCGGGAAGGCGCGTTTTGATCCGCCTTCCGATCGCACAGGCGACACGTCAGATTTTCCGGAGCTGCGAGTCTTTTCGAATCCCTCGCGTCTCGCTCTTCCCAGTGAACACACAGTCCTCCGGCTCTCCGGAGCAAGCACACTGTCTGGGCTCTACTTTACGACCCTCGTTAGTTTCTTGACTCCAAAAGAAATCTACAAGTGTCAACACTGCTTTCATATAAAATTGAGCCCAAGGGAGCCTTAGCAGACGACTGATAGTTGTAGACCCTACCCGAGCGAAGGAAGCTCGTAAATGCACTTGCGCGGACTCGCTCGTGTCATTTATTTGGCCACGGAATAAGCGGACAACGGCAGCTGCCGAGAAATTCGTGCGAAACCTCCAGCTCTGTCTCAGTTAGTCCTTTTCCACCATATTGCCTTCGCTCCATTCTTATTCCATAATTCCGAGCACGAGAGACTTCCTTAAATAGGTTATCTACTTTTGTACTCGGACCGATAATTTTCGTCTGAGAAGTTGATTCTGCCGACCGAGCCGTTCCGGATCCACCGGAAGCCGACTCCCAACATACCGGATCATTGAGAGAGCAGTCGCCATTCCTCTTCTCGGGAGGAGAGCGCTCTTTTCGTCGAGAGACAGACAGTCTTCGGGCCTTCGGGATCGGGAATTGAGCTTCTTTCCTCTCGTGAGTTTCACCGGGAGCAACTCACGAGCGAATTTTCCGCGAAGGGTCCCAAACGAAGTTTTTCACGCGCAGACCATCTGGTACTCGTCGCCGCATAAGCTCGATCACAGAAAAAAATTGTTCTCCGCCGGCAGGGCTCGCCACGAGGAGAGCATTTTCGAGGAGTCTCGAATCCGCTCCTGGTTCGCTTCGAAGGCGTCTAGATACCCTTCGGGAAAAACGCAGTCGATGTCGGCGGCGAGTTCCCTTTTACGATGAAATTTCACAGCAGACACGTTCAGCCCGAGGCAACAGAGTTGTTCTTTCAATCCTTCAGCCGCTGTTTCCGGACCTTCCGGGGATCATTAAACAGAGGCATCAGGCGAACGACCCGGAAAAGATAACTCGTCCCTTTTCACTTCAATCCGCTACGATTTCCGGAAGGCGCCGGCTTCCCGAATCCGTGCGAGCGTACCGATTCCAAGGCGGGTGAGCTCCAACCGGCGGATTCGAAACTGTTTCTTGCAAGGAAAAATTTTCACGACGACTGATGAATCCAATTTTTCTCTGCACTGGTTCGACGAACGGAATTCCGGTCGGCTCAAGCCGACCGAGCTCTTGGTCATCCTCCAGAGTTGTCAGAGGAGCCCCGGGCTCCAACTCTACGATAGCGAACTGTGATTCTATTCCCCGCATAATGGATCGGCACCCGAAGGCTCCGCTTATCGTCCGCGAACCTTACAGCCAAGAAAAATGCGCAATCGCGGAGAGTCTGACATCGAAGAATACATTTATTCGAGAGCTCGAGAAGTCGAGCTGCAAGCTTATAGCGGAGTCCGCTATGATCAGGACGGAGAGTCTGCGAATGAAAACTCATGATAATATTAAGGAGGCACTTGGTGGTCAGTTCTGACGTGCAATATTTATTAAATAGTCATTCTCCGAATCTTCCAATGTTCTGGTGAACGCAGATTTTCCGTGAAACATTTCTGCCTCGCGTTCCGTTCCCCAGAATCCGAGGGACCAGCAGGGCGAGAACTTGGGAGGTCCGAAATAGTTCAGGTGTCTTTGCGAGAAGACTCGAGCCCGGAATCGAATCATTTCCCTCGTCAGGGATAGGCTCCAGAGAAAACTCCGATGGTTTCCAGGTCAGTCACGGGAGCCCATACCTATCCTGTGCGTTTCAAAGAACTTCCGCCATGCTTAGGGCGCGGAGAGTCAGCTCAACGGGTAGGAGAAACTCGCATGAGATAAGTCAGGTAGGGTTTCCATGGCGGGCACACTCTTCCCGGCTTCCGCTCTGCTTCAAGGGGAGACACGACGACTCCCCGATAGCTCGGTCACGCATCAGTGACCGCCGAAATCTTGATATTCGGCATCACAATGTGGAGAGTACGAAATACCGGGCGTCTCAGGGATTGGTCTCGTTCGAAGAGACCAGGTCGGTATTGCGGACGAAGGAGTGCTCTTGAGCGCGAGTCAACAACTCTCTCCAAATTCCTTCAATGGATCTCGATCGTGTTCACGGTTGGTCGAGTGGACGGCATTCGCGAATCTTCCAGAGTGCTCTGCCTCGAAACGGAGCGATTCTCTCTTCCCCCGAAACATGCGGCGCGGATCTCGCTGAACTCCTTGCGGAAATTATCATTGAGGTACCCGTACAGGAAAGGGTTCGAACACGCAGAGCTCATCCCGCACATGTGACAGCAGGCAAAGAGAATCCTGAAAAGAAAAAACCAGGGGGAGCTGAGTGAGGCTCGATGTTTAATTCAGAGGCCGCAGTTTTGATGAAGCTCAGAACAACGAATGGCGACTAATGGAGCCCTAATAGACTCCGAATGACGTGGCTTGGCTGCATAAGGTGGACCAGCTGTGACGGGAAGAAACGGAATGGCGGTTGATAAAACCCAGAGAAATCGGAGACGATAAGGGAAGGCTTGATTGAAGGGAGGATAATGGAGGGAATGAAGCTAATCGAGTCCCGGAGGATCGCCAGAGGTACAAAGTCAGCAAAGAGGGCTATCCCGAATGATTGAGAAGGGGAACATTGTAAATTATAAGGTGGGATTGTATAATAATCGATTCTTCCTCAGAAGTCCCGATCTCAATCGATTGTGTTAGACTTCCGAACCATGTACGGCCCATGAAAAAAATCGAGTTTCTTGGAAGACAACACTGATGCCCCGCTGAGACATCGAACCCGATTTTTTCCCCTCGATCGATCATGAAGGCAAGTGTCGCTCGCCAATCGGGCGTAGAGAGTATACCGAGGAGAAGGTAGCCTCCGAAATCCATCCCTGGTTCTTGACCGAGCACAACTTCCGAACGTAAGATCAATCCGTCAACGGTTGGCACGCAACGCTGACGCAAAAATTGCCTAATCCGTCAATCAGGTCTAGTCCTTCATCGACCGGCTCCAAGCTCAATCCTCATTGCAGAAGAACTCATCGCGACCTCCATCTCACGGAGCGCCTCGAGGGAAAGCTCACGTCAAGTCAGCTGATCGGTTTTACGCCAAGCGCAGACCCATGGAGCTTGGAAGACTCTGAGGTTCGGCTTCATGGCTCTGTTCGACCTGGCGCTCGCCACAGAAGCTCCGCTTTGATTGAACCGCTATTCTGCATACGTGGATCCGAACTTGCGGGCCGGCCAGCTCGATGCTCGCTTGTGCTGATATGGTCGACGTTCGCGATGTCACCTCAAGAAAGACATATCCATGTACATATGTACGTGCATACTCCGGGATCGTTACACGCGAATACACAGAGACGCTCTCGTCGCTATTGCTTCTTGTCGGTGTCGTCGTGCAGTCTGTCGAAGTGGCAGTCGAGGAATCGGTCGGGTCGAGTGTTTGCCAACTTGGTCTGGCCTGCTTGCAGCGGCATTGACGACAGCGGTGGCGATGAATGAGAAGAGAAACACGATATCATCGCACCCGTAAACAGCTGTTCTCCGATACACTAGTTATCTATCCCAAGCGCGCGTACACATCTGAGTGCACTGAGCTGTCGCGTGTAGGACTGACTGAGTATTCCTAGGTGGTACTCGAGGAGCAGCCCCCTTCGCGAAGTCTCAGCACGGTTCCTAGAATGATCCCCGTGGGCTACAGTATTCCCGAGCCTTGAACGGTCTCGCTCCGGACGGCGAACGGAGTCTCCCAGGACTTCTGGGAACCGAATACATGGGGTGAAGACCGATTCCATATTCAGACCACCTGAGGTATCAGACCACTCTTTCCGAGCTCCGAATCAATAGGCTCCCATGCTAGAGGAGCTGCTCAATGCGACCACCTGAGTTATCAGACCTCTTCCTGGATATCCCGGAGGTGGTCTTATTAGACAGGTTCCCCTTTGTTTACAGAATAGCTCGGGGAGCTCGACTACTCACCTGAAAGAGTTGTCCATCTCGCTACCCATGTAGTCCACATAGGCGTTTAGCACGTTTAGCGGTAACCAACTCAGGATGAAGATCACTGTTATCGAAATCAGTAGTTTATTGGTGCGTTGAACTCGCCGCCGCTCTCGGAGCAACTTTTCTTCGAGTTGAGATCCTTTTGCCGCTATCCGATCCCGTAGTTTACGATAGATTGAAAGGTATGCCACCGATACTATGAGGATGGGCAGCATGTATTGGAAGACCATCGTGAACAGGGAATAGTAAAACCTGAAGGGGAAATTAATTCGGGAGATGAATGGGGGAGCTCAACTTTGAGACAGATCTCCTGTGGAAAAATGACGCTCTCCCGGTGCGGTTTCGCAGCTGCAGACATGGCTTGATATTGTACTTCGACCGCTCCCAAATAAGAACAACCATCCATTCATCAATGCGTTCCTGCCGCCGAGAGCCCCGATATTCTCGGAGGCACTCCCGGAACTTTCGTGGAGTAGCTCCAGCAAATATGGCGAAGATATCGTGGATGAATCCACGAATCTCCTATGCTGCTCCATAAAACCTGCTCTTCACAAGCTCTCTGAGGGGAAAAGGAAGACTGGCCCCGAGTACGTTGCAGGTGTCGGACCATAAAGCCACTTCATCGTCAGACGAAAGCCAGCTGGCTGACCGCTCCAAGCTGGCCGGCTGTGGGACCCGGGAGAACTGCGCGGGGAACAGGTTGAGCAGAAGCCATGAACGGAGCGCTCGACGAACATTCAAAGCCCAGTATAACTCGGTCAGGAAAGTCCGATCAAGTGTCTGGATTCATTCCGCGAGATCTAAAGTGGGCGGACGCATTTAGGATATGGAAACAAGAAGACGGAACCCATGGGAAAAGAACGAGGCGACCAGCGAATACGACCAGTGAGCTTTTTAAGACGGAACTCTGAACCCGTCTCCTCGCTCATGACGAAGAGAACTTGAAAACACCGACCTACTGTTCGGTGCTCTGAGCTCGATTGGAGCGGTCTCAGATGGGGGGTTCTCCAGATAATAACATCGAGAGCCTCGATAGCGGAAGAAAACTGGGCGCAAGCTCATTCCGGAGACACTGAGATAATCCATTCTCTAATTGTCAGCACCCGGAGCGAACCTCGGATAATTTCGTTATTCCCGCTGGACTTCGGAATATTCGAAGTTTATTGTCTCTCCGCCGGTCCTGCAGAGGAGGGCGAATAGCAAAAGGTCACAGAAAAAAACTTTGACTTATTTTTAGTCATTGACGCCGGCCATGATGGGCCGTCACGTCGAGCGGAGCGCTAATGGAAGTCCAAAAGGCGCTACTTACCCTCCACTTTCGACAGGCCATCGCTCGACGCAGAAGTCGAGATCTGATATCCGAAAACCGTATTGGAGCAATAACCCCTTGTGTGGGTTCTCGTGACGCACCATAACTTTGTAGAGGAACAATGGCATCGCCAGGAGAAGGGCGACCAACCATATGGCTCCGACCATCAGGAAACCCTTCACGGGATTGAACTGTCCTCTCGTGGGATACACTATCACTTTGTAGCGGTCGACCGCGATCGCTATGATTGAGATGGTCGAGACGAAAATACTTGTGGCTTCGAGTCCGGCGACTAATTTGCACGTCAGCATCCCAAGCGGCCAATACTTCAAAACAATTTCCAACAGGGAAAACGGCATCGTGAACAAACACAGTATGAGATCACTTATCGCCAAATTGATGATATAGAAATTCCGGGCGGTGCGCATGGCGGGTTTACGGGCAACGGCGATACACACGAGTCCGTTCCCGGCTGCGCCAGTCGTTATCAGCACCGAGTACGCGACCAGAAGGCAGATCAACGGGATTTCATCGATTGCACGGGTGTTGATTTTCTGTGATAATTTCTCCATGACCTCGGCTGACGTATAATTCGAACGCGTGAAGCTTATCGTAGACGTCACCGGATCGGTCGCTGCCGCTGTGCTCACGGGACTCATGACGGTGACGTTTGCCTGAAAAAGAGGAGCGGACGAATACGTCACGAGTTCGATAGCAAGTTCTTTGAGACTATGCCAAAGAACTGTTTTCCCGTACCGTCCAAATCATACGTGAACATTCGTTTGATGCGGATCCGGAAGCAACGACACGACTCGAACCCTTTTTCTGAAGTGTTCTCATCTATATTCCGGAACTTTCGACCTCAAAGGACGCTAAAAGTCGTACTAGCAACCTGTGGCCAACGGCCTTGCAACGAAAAGCGACTCGGAGCTCGTGGTGTATGGCTCCATACACAACAAAAATGGGACATTGGGAGCAATGGGTATTTCCGAGGGAACGATTGCGGCGCTCCCGGAGCAGCGCAAAGTGAGCCCCCGCCTCGAGCTGCTGGTGGTCATAAAGCCTCTGCTGTGGCCGCCGAGAACAGCTGCGACCCGGATAGTAAACAACCGACGACAGAATTCGCATGTCCCCACGGCCCATTCGGCGTACTGACATCCAGGCGGAATCCGTTGCGGGCTGCTCAGAGGCTGCCGATGAACACGGCTTGGTTAATCAGAGCGCCAGCCAAAAATATTGAAATGAGAGTCGGTCTCGAAGCTTCTGAGAGACCGGGGAAAATACAGAATTTTCGGATAAAATCTCGTTGTGGCGAAGTATCCGGCAATCCGACCGTGCTCGTTGCAGCAATGACTAAGCAGCGCTTCTGGGAGTTCCGAGCGATCCGGCGAATGTATTTGATGGATGCATTCATTGTTATTTATGCGCATATGCCCTGCCAGTTCCTTCACGAGGAGCGGAACAAAAACTCAGCCTGCTGTTCGATTAAGTCAGCTCTACTGATAGTGCGCCTCGTCAACCATCGCAATTCGACATCCGCGCGGACCCCCGTTCAGAGTTAGAAATCCAAGCTGAGATTACTCGTGCTTCTTCAGAGGAAAATATGAACAAGTCTTCGGTGTAAACGTTCCCAGTGGCAATCTCGAAATTGTTTCCCAGGTGAATCCTGGAAACATATCTGCTGAACTATAGCGATCCTCCCCTGTCAGACTCCGTCCAAACCCCTGATTGTGGAAATCGTCGACGCAAATAATTGCTTGAGCGAAATGGGGCTGCTCAAACCTAGTCTGAGGTGCCAGGCATCCCGATTGGCACCATCTGTTTCTAACAACCGCACCCGGTCCCGGGTTTGCTTTGTCATTTGGACAGCGCGGGAGCTTTGTAGTTTTCGTCGCTGACCGCTTTCTCTCATTCCAAGCTATTTACTTGGATAATCAGTTTCGCAGAGCGGCCGGAGATCATCGCGTCCGGCATGAGGCGTCGATTTCGCATAATTCGCAGGGGTGTTGCATGTGGCAGGTTTCAAGGCAATATCCCGACTATGTATGGAGTTTCCTCCGGAATAACTGCGATGGAGCATCTCGGAGCTTGCGTCGTCATCCTCAGCTATATTCAGGAATCTCTTCCCGTTCTCCCTGAGTTTCCCCAGCCTCCATTCCGCACGAGAGCATCCGAATCGAATCTCTCGGACACTATTTTGCATTTTGATTGTTCCCGTGACGCTCTGGCTTTCGGGACCGCCGACTCGATGTGTAGTCATCAGAGGTCTCGCTCGCTGCTCGACGGCTCACAGAGACAATTACCGGGGTCCGGCGATTCCTCGTTTCGAAATTTCCGAGCGAACGTCGGATCGACCGTGTGATGGATCTTCGAGAAACGCGGAGTAAGTGCCGATATATTGTAGTATAAGCGAATTTTTCGGAACGAAACTTCAGTTTGAGACTTGACTCCCGCAACCTATTTCTCAATGGTCCTGCAGCGAGAGAACCGGAAGACGTCCATCAAAAGCGGTGCCAGGAGCTGCGGCGCGCCGTGGGTCTCTACCTTTCCGGGCGCCCGCAGAACCGGGATCCGGAGTAAGAGAGCTCCGACGGACGCTTGAATCGTCGTCAGGTCATCCATCAGATCATCTTCCGTGAGGTGTCCGCTAGAAACACCCCTCAGGCTAGACAGGGTCGGTTGCACTGGATTAGGCACGTGCCCGCGGAGAAGCACCCCATCAGTTTATCGACGAAGCTGCTTTGGGAGCTCGAGCTCGGTGATGATTCTCGGAGCGACAGGTTCGGAATCTTTGGGATCATCCGAAGTTTAGTTCATCTTACGAGATACGACTTCAGACTGCATCAGTCCGTTCGATCCAATCAGAAGCGAGCTCTTAGTGTCTGGAGCGGAGAGAATCCATTTTACTAGGCTCTTCGTTTCCGCTCGGAGCTGTCCTGGAAAGACGACCTCTGCTGAGGATGGGCGTAACAGCTTTCATGGTACTGTCCGTCGACTGATATAACACAGACGGTACGTCACGTACACAAGAAAAGCTTCACTCGGCGTAAATTCTCCGTGAACGCTAATAGATATCGACAGTCTCTCAAAGCGCCATCAGAGTCACAGGAAAATCCCTTTTGAACACTCTCGCCTTCCGAGCACCCTCCCTGCGGATCCCGCAGACGACGATCCCGTTCAGCCGTGGTGTCCTCCTTATCCGCCAGCGCGGCAAATACCGGCGACTCCAATGACATTGAGAAAGCGCTTGTTGCGGCCGCATCGGAATCGAGCAACACTGCTCCGTGGAATAATTTTCCCCCTCCTCCGATCTCGACTTCGCGGCTCCGTACGCCGCTTGCGGGTCGCGGGTTCGACGATCGAGCAGACTCAAACTGTGTAGACATGTCTCGCACTGGACAACAGCCGCCCAGCAGCAGCTCGGGCATTCAAGGGAACTCGATCTGGCCAGGTCGACTCCGAGAACTACGACCAGACGTTTCCGAGAGGACTTCCTTTGTCGTCGAAGACCTCGTTATTTCTAATACGACTAGCCTCTACGGAGAGTGAGCGGACGAGGAGCGGGTTGTGAGGAAGCGGGGATCAAAAGCTTGTTCGAACTAGGGTCCGCCGCAGCAGGTTGGTCGAGATCGACGGATCAATTACACCTGCATCGGCCATGATCAGAGCTACGATGTGAAAGAAACTCAATGTTTTCGGCCTGTTCCATACTCCATAATTTCCATGTACCTACGAGCCTCGAGACGCGATTCTCTCAGGTGTAATTTAACGATTCAACCCCGATGCTGGCGCCGGTGACGCTCAGCGGAAGCTTCGTGCTCGGAAGCCATTCTTTCATCCTTCGCTTATTTAGGACAAGTAACCTCAATTTGAACACAAAAGGAGCTGTCGTCAATTCGCTCAATGATCAGGCCCAACTTCCTTCGCGCCAGACTTTGACGCCCACATGTGATCCCTAACCGAGCCTCTGAATGCTCCTTCGATTTTTGGGGGAGGGGAAACAATTAGGGCTGATGTCGAGCTCCGACCGACTTCATTCTGGATCGGAGGCATGCTCCTCGACCCTCTCGGAGAGCTCTGATTCATCGGCAGATTGACTCGCATTTCATCTTTCGCAGCTCCCCGCTATCGAAAATGAGCCGATCAAACGAAGCTGTGACCTGATGTGCATCTTGTTGTTGCTTCCCGAATCATTTCCCGCGCATGATGGATTCATGCCTCTCAATATGCCTGAACCTCTCATGCTTCCTCGCCAGGGCTGTGATTCGGCGAAGAAGCCTCGCTCAAGATTTGAGAGCCGTGATTGAGTTTTTTCCCAACTCTACTATTCATTCGGTACCACGGATAGGAGGTCTCGTATAACTCGGCGGTCCGGACGCCCGACGAAAAAATGCTTGAATTTCTTCGGTGTGTAGGTGATCAGAGCAGTTGATCGCGTTCAGAATGCTTCCGAATCCGTTTCTCGTGGAGTCCGGTGATTCTAGACTTGTGAGGAGTTCTTGAAGAAGCGTCGGGAGTTGTGCTCGTCATTCGTAGTCCCCAGACCTTCACGAAACCTACTTTCAAGCCGAGCTTCTCTCTGAGTGCTTTTGCATCTTCTCCCTCTCGATCCTCCTGTCGCTTAGGCGTCTCACACTCGGACTCGCCTACTCGCGAGCTTCTTGTACACTGGCGGTCGGAGTAATAGACCCCGAGTTTGATACTAGAAGCCGTGTGTAGGGGTAACATCGTCATGTGGACCGCGAATGGCATTCGCCTGAATATCTGAACATCTAAAATATATAAATATCTCAACAGCTCGACATTTTCCATCTCAACAGATGGAGCAAGCTCGAATTGACTGGGTCACCTTATGTTTCGATAGTATTGTTTTTCACCAACCGTGCGCAGGATCATGTCGAAGCGAAGCTTTGGCCCCATGGATAGATGATGCATGATAGGTGGATGTTGGATATGAGCTCTGGCTCTCTCTTCGATCGGGGGATGTAAGAATCTAGGAAAAACTACTCAGTCCCCGGAGACATCAATCCATCGCGGTTTCTCCGTCGGAATATTGCTGCACATGAGATCGTTTTCCGTCCATTCTCAGCAATCAGACGGGGAAGGCCAGAAATATTCAGTCGCAGCTTCTCAGGGCACTTTATCTTGCTCTGGGCAAGGAGCTCAGTTCAAGAAGCGAGCAGCAGAAAAGCAGCTCGTGGTCTCTCCCAGAGTGCTCGTCGCAAGCACGCCGTCGAAACCTCGGTGAGAAGGTCGGAGAAAATGCGTGGAATTCGAACTTCGACCGGAAACAGCGCTAGCGAGCCCGGATAGTTACCTAGAAATAGGTGGGGAGCGGCTTCTACATATACACTGAAGCACGTAGAGGCTGAAATTCCCGCGAAACCTCAAGGAGCGGACAGCATGGATGTCAACGTGCTATGCTGTTCCGCATAGCAGAACTCCAGTCATAGGCAGTCTGCTTAGAAATTCACCCAAATCGGATTTTCATGCAGATGTCTGAGTGAGCTCGAGTGCTTCTTATGGAAATACAATGATGAACCCGAGCGGAGACGTCGCTGAGAGCCAATAATTAGTTGAGTGACGTCTGCGCTTGCCCCATCACATAAGGCGGTCCCGAATCAGCAATGTCCGTCAGGATGACAGAATCGGATGTCCAAATCAGGGAAAAGGAAAATCAGAATGAGCACGCTGAACAGCACAAGCGGGAACACGAATTGAAATTCATGAGGCCCAGTCTTCGGCTGAGTATTTCCTCTTCCCGGCTAGGAGTGCTCTAGCTTTCTGAAATGTCCTTGCGGCACACAGAGTCCAGGCTCCGGCAACCTCGCCTTTTCCGCGAGGAGCGATAAGAATTCGTACATCTAATATCGATACGACTAATGGAAGGATTGCTGATCGGCTGCGGCCCGAATCATCAAGGAGCAGTACGCGAGCAGAGCTCTGCGTCGAATGGCGACCCAAGCAGACGGTCGCCGATGAGCTCGGCATATTCCATCGAGAGAACATCATCATCAGAAACCTCCCATCAGTCCTATTTTCAGGAATCTTCCGGAAAAGAGACCTTCCGGACCTGCATTTAGGATGGTGGAGCGAACGAATCGAGCTAGAGGGTATCAGTTGGACAGACATGCAAAAAACTTGTCCCGATCCTCAGCAGCAGAGTCGTGTTGCCCATGGGAGGAAGGCGACCATCTTCAACAATTCGGAAATCTTCTATTCCACTGAGTTGATTCACACGAGCTGAATGAGCCGTTGGATCTGGAGTCGATGCGGACGGAGCTAGCGTTTCAGGACTCGTCCGCTGCCAACACCTTCGGCAACGAAGGCCGCGGAGGCGGCATTCTACCCGCGCTGTCCCACGAAAGCTAATATACAGCTGTTCAAGGAAGGTCTTACTGACATAACTCCGAATGACGTCTCTTCACTGGCAGCACCGTGAATAAAGGGAACGGATAGGACTGGAGGCTAGAAGGCCACAGAACGTTCAACCCCCCGTTCGAGATAGGGGTTTCGTCAGGAAAATAGACTCGATCGTCACTTCAGTACTCCATTCCGCTTGGAGGCGCGGAAGAGCTCGTCGGCAGGAATAATTTCCAGGGGGAGCTTGAATTTGGTTACGGACCCACGAAACGAATTCCAGAGCGTTCGGGACGAACAATCCTAGCGAATACCTCTTTCGAAATCAGCAAAATTCGCAATCTTATGTTTGAGGCTCATCGATCGCTCTCAGGTCATATATGGGAGCAAGGAGAATCAATGGAGACTCCGTTGCCTCTTCTCCCACTGTCCCGCCGGTGAACCTTGAATTCCCAAAAGCTTCCTGGGAATTCAAGTCGACTGAAAGGTCAGAGCTTTTGGCACCCTCGTATATTCATGGGAGTGCCGCTCTCGTAACGCCGCGCCGGGTTCCGAGGGTGGTTTCGGTTGGATGCCGTCCGCTGGTACAGAGATGTACGTTTGCCCTTTATCAGTCGGGAAAAACTGATAAGCCAGAGTATGATTTGTTTCACATCCACGAGAGAAAACGCTCGACGTTGGGAAGCGGAATGTCGGCTGCGTTTTCGAGCATAGGATAAATGAGGACGTCCCGATGCTGAACCTCGGTCAGCATGCTATCCCTTATGCGCCCCATCTTCAGGCGCAGATTTCCCCCGGTCGCCTCGGAGCCTTCGACCCCTACAGGTGCTCCGACGATTATCGCTGTGTTATGATTTTCATGAGTTGTCTGACGGAAGATTGATCATACAGTCGATAGTCGTGTACAGTAGTACCTCGACTTACGATCTTAATCCGTTCTTGGAGACCAATCGTGAGTCAAAAATATCGTTAGTCGAAACAGAGTTTTCCATAGGAGCCCATAGCGAGCGACTGATCTGTTTCGAGCTGAGAGGGAGGATAGCGAAATGTGTATCCATCGACAACAAAACCCCAGTTTTACGTATCGATTCAGATTGAGTCGAGCGAAAACCGCAAATTATTCGTCTCGAAAAATCGGACGCAAGTCGAATCAATGTTCGTAAGTCGAAACAAAAACCCCCGAAAAAAAGATCGTCGGTCGAATCGTTCGTAAGTCGAGACGATCGTAAGTCGAGGTACCACTGTACTCGTGAGGAAGCTAACAATGAGCGGGAAGCATTCCTAATTAATGCGAGGGATATTCCCTCGGAAGGTTCAAGAACTTCGTGAGGACCTACGACGCTCTGGGGGGGGCAAGAAAGTCCCCCCATTGGTGGGGAAGTGAGCAGGGCATTCGTAATGGACCAGCCTTCGGGCTTGGGAAGTAGAGCTCACCATAGCTGATATGATTGATGAATTCGTGATGGGCAGAACGCGCGAGCCGGTCTTGTTCCTCACTGCAGTGTTCCGTGGAAACTTTTTTGACGGTGCTGTTCCACGGGCGGAGGCATGGCCTATGGAATTCGGTCCACGTCTGTTGTGAGCATCGCTCGACTTTCCCAACGAGAGAGGTTCCAAGGCTCTTTCCACTCCCGTTTCCCTCCATGGTCCCGTGTCAGACTCGCAAGCGGGAACTGATATTGACCGCGTTTTTCCCCTCATATCGCCCGCGATTCCTAGAACACGGATTCAGGCAGCAAGATTACGATCTATCCAAAGCCACTCCAGCAGTCTAGAGTCTAGAGTTCGATTGGGATGGGTGGCTGCGAACCAAGTTCCGCCTCCCCAAGGACCGTGGGGTCCACTGACCGGAAACGCTGAGAGCCTCGGCAGAGGTTTCAGTTTCGTGAGACTTGAGCAGTCGATATTTGGTCATTTATCGCAAGCCATCCATGAACGTGCATCGCATCTCAGAATGAATATTCCTAGGCTTCCTCGATCGACAGGGAGACCTTCTTCCCCCATGCTCGTCGTGAATAAGCACTGGTTCGCGGATCCCCTGAGTCCAGAACATCACCGTGCATGCTCCCCGCGCCTAAGTCAACCATCGGCGCCCCGTGATTCCAAGTCTTCCGGTTAGGAACTGTAACTGTTCGTATTTGATGCGAGGAGTTCTTCCGCCCAAACTCGATACTTGATCGATCACTCGACCCTTTGACTGATCTTCGAATCGGTTGTGGGTGGCGATGACTCGGAAGCTGAGTACGAGAGAAGCCTTTCGCGTATAATTCTTCGATTCATCCCTATGTTCAGCTATCATCAAGAGTCAGCTACCGGAACGAAACATCCAGTAAAACAATCGATTTGCAGCTTCGATTCTGAGGAAGGTCGAGCCAGAGTCCCTAATCGTGCTCACTCAATATCTTCTACGAAGCCCCCTGAGTTGAGCCAGTCAAAGTTGATCGATTCTGGATTAGGATTGATTCATGATCCGACGTCTGTTACTCTGCGTTGGGGCTCCTTGTGGCACTCGAGCTCGCTCAATGATGGATCAAATGATGCGGAAAAGTCAGACATACGCACATTTTCTTCCGGAATGTCCCAACGAGGGAAGAATGTTGCACTCGGAACGAAATGCGGCAATCATCGCCACTTAGATCGGCGGAGGAACTCAAGTCGAGATGAAATATCCCTGGAGAGGCTTCGCTTCGAGAGATCTTGGAAAACAGCCTCCTCAGAGTTCATGGTGAAATAAGACTGCGGAGAGTTTTCCTCCGACTCCACGGCTCTTCTCTGAAACCGGATATTTCAGGCGCAACGTTCGGACAAGAATCGTGCACAGAACGAACGAATTGAGAAGTCAGGCGACCGCTGGGATGTGCGAAGTACCCCGATCAACCACCAATAGGTTCCGAGGAAGAGTCGCGGACGCTTTCCAAGATGATAATCGGGAAGGGGAACTAAATTTTTTTTTATTCCTTGCGTCAGCAAGTCCAGCGAAGCCCGAAATCCCGCGCCGCTATGTGCTGCGCCGTTTTGGCCGCGCCATTTGAAGTTGCTACGTTTTGGTCGTTCTCTGAGCGGAGTGGAGATCGGATAGAAATCTGAAAATGATGCGGATCTAGAAAGAAATCTCAAAAATGTGCCACCGCTGAGAAGCTGCGTGAGATCGGGTTTATAGAACACCTGCGACCTGGGCTTGAGGATGCTGTTGAGTTGAGGGTATGGTGGCCTTCTCTAAGTTTCGGTGCCCGAGCTCAGGCGAGTCGAATCCTCGGCGGAAATTCTGATAGGACCTCTATTAGGCCATTGGAGCTTGAAACTCACTTAATCTATCGCATGATTTTCGTCCACTACGGTTCGGAAGCAGATCTGATCAGGGTTTTGTTGGGGTTCTACACCCTCAACTTCCCTCGAAACACAGCTGTGAGCAGACAGTTAACACCTCTCCGCGAATCGCAAACAAGAATTCATCGATGTCTAGTCACGAACCGCAGGGGTCCATCAGAATCTTCTGCACGGTGGAGCCACTGGCCGGTCCGAAAAGGAGGGGTATTTAAACCCCTGGAGGTCCGAATCAGACGGCCACAGGTGTTTCAGCTCGCTTCCCGTAGACTGCTTGGATCATTCGCTTGTTCGGTGCAAAACACAGTGAAAAAAAATCAAAAATGAGCAAGTCGAATCTAGTCAAGTACGGCCAGACCATCAACCTCAACCTGGGCTGTCTAGGCATGGGGCTGATGACATCCGTCATCGGAGCCACCCTTCTCGACCTGACCGAAGTCTATGACAGCCGGGTCGAGTTGGCATCCCATGTCATCACAGCCCGGGGAATCGGAGCGTTGATGGGGTCCCTCTTCGGAGGGATGCTGCTTGACAAATTCAACACTCAGATCTTGATTACGACGGCGATGCTAATAGCATCCATCACCATTCTCTTGGTACCGGTATGCCCCACGTTACCGGTGGCCTACGTCGTGACATTGATATACGGCCTGACGGTGGGGATTTTCGACACGGGTGAGTACAATTCTTCAGAAGAACTCGCCCCAATAAGGGAGAGCTTCACGTGTTTCCCCGTATTGCCCCTCCCGAACTTGAGTTAGTGATAGCATCAGCCCGAATGAATCAGTGTTTCTGCACTTGATGGGAGGTCGGAAGTTCGAGAACTGAGAATAGCCAGTCTGGATCAGGAATGATGCGCCCCGTAAACTGCCAAAATAGACTCTCTTCTGTGGTGAAATTGGCCCCCGCATGTGCGACATGAACTTCACGAAATAGCGAATTAGGGAATTGATTCAAAGGCAGACGAGTCGACGTGAAGCTCATCCTTAAACTTAGATGGAATCGACATGTGTTTCATCACTGAAGAGGACAGACGGTCTCTCGCGTTCTCCCGAGACATCGGGAGTTTCACACAAGACACCTACATGGACCATCCTTGTGTAGATATTGACTCAGTCCTTCTGTGCAGCCAGAAAATGCAATTCTCGAGATCCGCTCTTGGCGCTGCTTTGCAACGTTGCGCACCAATTTCCGAGCCAAAGTTACCAGGTATACTCTCGAAACGAAGGACGCTCACCGTTCTGACGCTGGACACTCCTTCCAGGCGCAAACATCTGGATCATCAACTTATGGGGCAAAAACAATGGTCCAATGCTGCAAATTTACCACTTCGCTTTCGGGCTCGGAGGCCTCGTGTCACCCCTCGTCGCCGAACCCTTTTTGAGCGTCCACCACGCAGAGGACCCAGAGATGATGGATTTCCCAAGTCCGTCGCCGATCGGGGTTCCAGACTCGCCAAGCTGGAACGAGACAGAAGTTGTGGAGGCGGTTCTCTCGAGATCACGGATCGATATACCGTATGCAATGATCGCATGCATACACTTCCTGCTATTCGTTTCGATGTGCGTCATGTATAGAATCGACCCTTCGGATTCGAAACCGCCTCCAGAACTTTTGGGGAACGAGGTGACTGCGAGCAAACCGAAACGGTATACGCTGCTCATGTGTCTCTCGTTCTATCTCCTCGTCTACGTTGCCTTGGAGAGCTCTCTCGGACAAATGCTAGCGACCTTCGCGGTGAAGAGCAAACTGCACTTCACGAAATCGCAAGCCTCTTATCTGAGCTCGCTGTTCTGGACGTTCTTCACGATGTCGAGGGTTCTGTCGGCTCTCTGGGCCATGGTTTCCACGCCCAAGAGCATGATGCTCGTGGAGCACGCCATGACCATCGTCGCACTGGGAACTTTCCTCTGGTTCGGCGAAACTAACGCAACGATGGTCTGGATTTGCGCAGCTATGGTTGGCGTCGGCGCCGCCGGAATGTTCGCCACCGCAATCACGTGGACCGTAAGTACATCATTCTTCTTGGTAAATTCCAGGCATGCTCTCCCAATAATGATGAGGCCGGGGTATTGGCCCTTGGCTTCGATGCGATACTTCCGGAGGTGTACTGGCTCGGGATCCTCTATACCCGGTCGTTGGTCGAAGTACCTATTTTCTGTTTCGCCTCATCGAACGATTCGACGTATCTTCACCTCCTATTATTTCAGGTCGAGTTTATGCCCCTTTCGAATAAGATGATGTCGATCTCGACAGTGTTCTCGGGCTCCGGCGGAACGGCACCTCCTTTCATCGTTGGGAAATTCATCGACAAATGTCCGATGTCCTTGATCTACGCATGTTCGAGTCTCGCGGTCATTCTCACTTTCTTCATGTGCAGTAAGTGCGGTGCCTCGATCCAAATTTCGCACGAGCAGATTCTTAGAACAAATTCCACAAAGGGCTTCGCGGCTCGATCAAGAGGATCTTCTGGTATATGTCCGGCAGAACTGAGAGAGGCAGCCGCCGAATCGGGACTCGGGAACGGAGTCTCCCCCGTAGTTTACAGTCCGTCCCGCTCTCCTCTGCCCCCGAGATCAATAGCGCGTTTATTCAATCTCTCATTTGTCGCTCTCCTTTCCAGTCATGTGGAAGATCACGAGCACGATGACTCCTAGGAAGTCGATGCTTATGGACTCAACGGAATTGAAGGAGGCCGCAAATGGCCCCTGTGAGAAAGGGGATGACGCGTCGATCGCGGCTGTTTAGTTAGATAGGAAATCAAAGAACTGAAGTTTTGGCGTTGATCCCAATGAGACCGATAATCTCGATGTCCACCGTCCTCCTGTATATAAGTATTTATCTATAAATTAATCGACTCGGAGCATAAAGATCGAATAAGACGAAAAATGTAGGGAGTAATCTTTAACGACAATATAGAGCCACGACCCGCTACGGGAGGAATCGCGGATAACTTTATTTTCACAGGAATTTTGAGTAGCTTGTGGTCTGGTACTCAGAAAAAGAGTCGACTGATAACCGAGGATATGAAGCAGATACCGGGTGATACATAGATAACCAGGGCTGGTCCAATCCTCGAAGTCCCGATGCTCGCGAGCAAGATAAGAAACAGGAACAGCGAGGACAATGATTGATCTCAAGCGACTCCTCTACCGGGAGAGTGTGCGCCGTCTCCCTTCAAGTGCAGATGATTATTCGAGATGGCACCTCTTCTCGGATAGGGACATCGTTCGAAGTAATATTCCTCGACCATCAGCAGGAAACTCGGTCTCTCAGGAATCCCGAAGTTCCAATCATCATACCGACAGCTCTCGCCAGTCTCGCACTATGTGGGATCGAGACTCCGAGGAAATTCAGACCTCCACGACGTACTCGAGCGGAATCTGCTGAGTTGAGGACTCTCCCGTGAATTTCCTGCCTGCTGGCGAAACCAGTAGTCCAGTGGCCCCCAAACTTTTCTGGCCCGTGAACGCCTATGAGCCGGTAGCATGAAATTGATGAGCCCCCGCGGCCCCTACCACGAGATCATCAGAAGGTCCGAGGATCGTCATGGCTCCCAGACAGGCCACATGGCTAACTCCGGGAAAATTGCGGTAGTTCGATTCATGCTCGTCGAAGCGGGATCTGGGCGGATGGCCTTACGACTGATCCTCGCGAACTTGCGTTCGCATTCATCTGTCACTCCACAATTCCACTCCGAAATCGCCGGTCAGTTTCATCATATCAACCTGCAGGACGCTTTGTGTCGTGAAGGTGCGCTGTCCTCGGAGAGTGATAGTCCGGCGACTGTCCACCATGCAACGTTTCGTTCATGCAACTCTTCTTGATATTGGTCGGCTTTCGGTGGAGTCCACAGGATTCTTCGTTGGGGGGGGGGGGGCTAGGATCGGGAGCTCGCACGGGGCTGATTTCCAACATAGGGACCCGCTCCTATACC